GGGGGGGGGGGGGGGGAAGAATATCCAAACACTGGTCAAAAAGAGCCAGACAAAAGCACGCCCAAAAAAAACAAAAAAACAGTCAACAATCAACCCTCTTATCCAGGCTCACACAGAGAAGTGAAAACAACACCTCGGCTCAGACAACATGCTGTTGAGAGTGAGGGAAATAAGAGAAGCGACGCAAGACACGCGACTGCGTGCCCTGTGGCATGGAACCTCACAGACCTTTGTTCAACAATTTCTCCATCGTTTCGTTGACCTCTGCGCTGCCTCCAGAAGAAAGGCAACCATACATCCCAATGGTAAGCTGAAACGCCGGGGCGTCCGAGGGGGAGAGACGTGATGGAGAACGCCAGGGAGAGACGTTGCCAAAGCGCCGATTGCTGGTGCGCGGCGAGGACATCATGCTAGGATAGCTGATGGGCGCTGAGGAGGGATCCACGGCCACGGGACGAGGCTTCGCAGAATTCGCAGAATAGAGGCATTTCTTGACATTGATGCGAGGGGATGGTTGATTCGAAGCCAGAGAGCTGAGGGTGGGCTTGTTGGATGTGCTGCTGGCGGCATTTCCATTGGTGTTCTCGGCGTCCTGGAAGCGGCTGTACAGATTGACACGCGGGTTTGAACTTGACTGGCGCGGAGAAGAAAAGTTGAGGAACCGAGAGGGAGAAGGAGAGGCTTTTGAATGTTGTGGCGTCTTCAAGAGGTCCTTGGCTTTTGGTGTATTGGGGAAGACGATGTGATTGAAATCATCCGTGCTCTCGCGCAATTGTTCATGCATGGTTGCCTGCGCGTCATCGGTGTCGATCAACTTGGATTGCGACACCTCTACACCAAGCGATCGGGGTGAACAAGGAAATGAGGTATCAGAAAGCGACAAGAATGAGAACCAAAAGCCCGTTGGAAGCGGCACACATGAACGTGTGGCATGGACCAGACGAGACGTACGGAGTAAAGCATTGGCGGCGGCAGTATCTTCGTCGGCATTGAGGGTGCGATCCGAGTTGGCGTCGAGGTGTGGAGGCTCTTGGTCATAGTGTATACGTTTACGCGGCGTTGTTTGCAGTGGGCTCACACCAAAGTCGTTCAAGTCTTGCGGCTCCTCCAGCAAGGGCTGGTAGCAGTACTTGTGAGGTGTGTAGGGAGAGAGAAGAGCGCTGGAGCTGCGACCAGAGGCACCAGTGGCTGGTGTGGAGACGCCGGCTTGCGTGGCGGGTGTGCGGGGCGGCGAGCCCATGCTGGCACCCGAGATGGTCATGGGCGAGGCATGTGCTCGTTTGCCGCTAGTTCGGGGTGTCACGTCGTTGGCGCTGAGTGCAGCGCTTTCATCATCAGTGGCGGCCTTTGGCTTGGCCGGAGATGCTCGATTGGAGGCAGCCCCAGACTTGCTTGCAACCGGCGAGGGCGAGGAAACATAGTCAGGGCCCGGCGTCAGCGGGGTATCGGGCAAACTGCCTGTCGGTGGGGCAGAATGATGCCGCTTGGTCTCGCGGCGCCGCATAGTGGAGTTCCAGCGGTTTTTAATGGCGTTGTCCGTGCGCCCTGGCAAGAGTTTCGCAATTTCGGCCCATTTATTGCCAAGGTCTCGGTGAGCCTGCAAGAGCGTTTCATCTTCAAACGTGGACCAGGGGGCTTTGTTGATGTCCGGATTCAGATGGTTGTGCCAACTGCATTATTCAGGCAGCACAAGAAGGATGAAGGATGAGGGTGGATATCAAGCAAGGTAGGCAAGGTGGAGACGGTTGGCAAAGGCTTTTATGTAACAGACGCGCCGTGACCCACCGCTCGCGACATTGCTTGCCAACACGACCGGGCAAGTGCTGGGCAATCTGAGACCACTTCTTCGCGCCATATTGCTTGACCAAACGCACAACCAGCTCGTCCTCCTACAGCAAAAACAGACGTGTGCATGAGATGACCAAAAAAACACGATACTGAAAAGCGACGTCATCTACAAAAGTCAAAAAAAAATGGCGCTGGCGCCAGATCATGGACGGCAAATATCATGACGTACACACACACACACACACACAACAGAAAAACCCACAGTTTTGGCGCTGGCGCCAAGCGCCGTCGCTAGCCACATCGTAAATGGCATCGCTTGCACAACATAAGCACAACAGAAAGCAAAGACAGAACTCACCTCTGTGGTCCAGTTGCCCTTGGTTGATCCAGACTATCATTCAAGGAAGCACCAAGGCGCAGCATTTCGCAACGATGAACAAAGCGAGGAGAATGTTGGTGTAAAGTATTGCGCTGCCAAAGAAAACAAAATAAATGGCAGCGCGTCTGCCTTTCTCAGCGCAAAGTCAAACCTACCGTCAAACCCTTCTTGGGACGCTTGTCAGCCATGCCAAAGATCTGAAAGCCAATGGCAGCGGCAGCAGAGCTACAGACACCAGACCAAGATAACATGGGGAAGCAATGGCGAGTCAGCTTGGGTTCGGGTTGTTCCGAGCCACTAAAGGCGCGAGCATTGTGGTTGGGTGTGTTGCGGCTGAGATTGTAACGGCAGTTCTGTTGCCAGACAAAGAAAAAAAAAAAGCGAGACACGACCAGCCACGGGCAGCACCGAAGAGAGGATGCACCAGCATGCTTGAACCGGGGTTATCTTTGTGAGCAACAAGACGAGAGTTGGCAGTATACCTGGTGCAGGTTGGTTGAGGAAGCGGGGGAAAAGGGCGCTGCCGTTATGGCGGCTGTTGCACCCAGCGCACTGTTGAGCCGACTCAAGAACGAGTGGGTTGATGATGATGATGATGATGATGGAGGAACTGGGGTAATGCCAACCGCCGCGAGTTGGATCGCATTCGGTGGGCAGTGGCAGGTCAAGCGGCGGTGGGACGCGACGGTGGAGGCACCAAGTTCAACGGCCGTTGGTGGGTCGGCCGCTGAAAGTCGCGTTGGCGACGCCAAAAGAACAAGTCAAACAAAGAAAGCCAACGGAAGAGAAGAAGAATCCTTCATACAAGGCGCAACCACGCGCGCGGTGGTTTTGGCGGTGGCGCGCCAGGCACCAACAACACAAGCGCGGGAGGCAAGAAGGCCGAGCAGGCTTCGACGCAAAAGCACAGACAAAGAAGAAAGCAAAAGAAAAGTGGCGCTGGAACAAGAATCGAGGGGTCGATGTGGGGAGAAGAAGTGGCGAAGGGAAAGAGGTGGAGGCGGATTGTTGTAGCAAGATACCACCACAGCCACAGTCAGTCAATGACGGTTTTTTTTTTGTCTATTGTGAGTGTGTGGTGTGTGTATGCGTGTGTGATGTGTGTGGGTGGGGGAGAGAAAGGGTGCGGTGCCAAGAGAAGCAGTCGGGACTGGGAGACTAACGGAAACTCAAACTGGGCGCGCGCGATCGTTCTCCTTCTCCTTCTCGTTGTAACTGTGGTAAGAATGGTCGTGATCGTTATGTGTCATTTAACGTTTGGGCGCCAGCGCGGTTTTTTTTTTTTGTCTCTTTGCTTGTTGTTCCTGTTAGCTATTCTCTCATAGAGGCATGACTGGTGCCACACTGTTGGGTGGGTGTGATGCGAGGGTGTGGTGAACTGTGGGATGTGGACCAGCTTATTGGCTTGTTATTTCGGTGTGACCCTTGTTACAGGTGTGAGAGATGATGATGTAACGGCGACTTTAAGCTTGGGGTCTTTAACGGTCGCTGCTCTCAATCAGTCGTGATGTTGAAAGTCAAAAAAGAAATGTGAATGCAGCGCTCACCAACAGAGTTATCGTGGCCACCACGGCACCGTGGCTGCTTTGCTTATCGACGCATCCAATGCATGCATCGGATCTCATGTCTCACTTGGCCAGCGGCTGCCCTTTTTCGCTACCCAGCCATAGTGCCCAGCCAAGCTTGCTTGCGAACGAAGAATAAATTGGTTGACAATGTTTTTTCGGACCAAAACAATACCAAATCTTGAAACGCCCACATACCAAGTCAATGCTGACAATTCAGCCACCACCACCAGATGCTGGCAACGGCCAAAGCGGCGGACAACTCGTGTCTCCTCACAACCCGGTGTCCTTGTTCAAGATCAAGTCACATGCACGCAATTAATGCACAACAAACTTGAAAAACTTCATGCTGCCTCCACGTGTGGCAGTACTCGGAAAGTCATATGGTGGACTGTATGCCGGGCAGTACGCGGGGTCTTGTCTGCAAACCACTCGAAGCGCCAGAAGAATAAATGGTCAGCTGTACCAGAGACTGATAGCCTCTGCGCTTCATCTTTGCATAAGGACGGTTTTGCAAAAAATGTCCAGGCCGTGACTTACGCAGACCCACAATGATCGCCCGCAAAGGGCCGGTCGCCATTGGCCGCGTCCTCCCTAAAGCCAGAGGCAATCGCAGCCGCAGAGCAAGACAACACGACAAAGCCGCACGGATAGAATGAGCGGCACTGATCCGTCCTGCCAAATCTTCAGCTGCGTACAAGCGCAGCTATTTTCAGAGAGTAAAGTATGAAGCTCACCAGCATGTATGTACTCTATCGCATGTCCCAAGTTCGGGACCAAACTGGTTTCTAGACCGCCGAACGCAAAGTCAGATCGTGTGTCTCGACTGGTCATGGGCAAAAAAGTGGGGTCGAAAACGGATTCGGCCAATACTCAGCCGAGTTCATCACCAGTTCACCACCAGCACCTGAGGCACGCACGTACCGGTGACCCCATTCAAAGTTGGCAGACAACTCAATGTCAACTGCACCAAGCACGTTCATGGGACCAACGGGATACTCCACAGACACCGATTGCGCTGCATTTGTTAAAAGCTTGGCCCAATAGTCTCCCACCATAGTAAATTTGGCAAACAAGAACGGTGTAAACTCGGCGTCCGTGTACAGAATGTATTCTGCTGCTGGCATGACATCTGGGATGGCAACAGAGGCGCCGGTGTAGCAAGAGTCTTGAGCATCCATGCACAAGACCGTGCGGCTACTCTGCCTCAAACGCTGCATAGCGCCTCCAGTCTGCGAAGCAAGAAGAAGCAAGAGGAAGAGAGTCAAAACACAAAACACAAGAATAAGCCCGGGCGGAGAGCATCAAACTATTGGAATTAGAGTGCGCTGGCACGCCATTTCAAACACATTCCCACACACGAAAGATCGTAACTCACATTGCTCAGCACCAGCGTCCAACCCTTTGACTGCACGCCCATCAAGCAAAAGTTCTTTGTGACAAGGACAAGTAAGTCCAGCGAGACACAGATGATGTGAGGTGGTGGATGAGCAAACCACGTTCCTTTGCACATTCTTCTTTCTTGGATGAGCAATGAAGCAACAGCAGCTGTCATACCTGATAGACTGTGTTGGCGGGCTGAATGTAGTACATGCCTGAGGCGGCATTGGGTACGAGCTGGTAGATCTGGTCACAGCTGCGTGCTGGGTTGGCCGGCGTCGCACCCAGGGTATGAAAAGTGGCTGGCTGATAACGCACAAAAATCTTATAGTCCATGGAGCCGTGGCGGTGCGCCTCGGCCGGAAACGTATACAAGGGGTCGTACGCAGGACAATAACTAGTCGTTCCAAACACCAATGTGATGAACGCACGGCAGCGAGTTTTTATTACAATAATAGCCTTGATCATACCGTTGAGTGCGCCCAGTTCAAAAAAAAAACTCACCTGATTGCGGCTTCATCAGGAGGACAGTAATCACCATAAAAAGGCCGATCTTCAGCGTCCGTTGTATGCATCCAGCACGCATGCACGTCTGCGCACTTATTCAAGGTTGTGCTAAAGGAGGTGGGCATGGTTCGATGCCCCCAATGGAATGCCGACTACAAACACCACGGGCAGCGTGGTGAGGAGCGGTCCGTGCCTTGTGGCGAGCGATTTGAGCTCCCTCCATCGACACAAGGAGGAGGTAGGCTCACGTTGGTATCAATCGGCAGCCAGCCCAGGGAGCTCATCGGGCCTTTGGGATAGCGCACTCTGACCCCCTCCTACACAAGGCGCCGGCACATGAGATGCGACCATCCAAATGGCAAGTTCAAGGGTTCAACGGCACAGGCAGAGGAAGAAAGGTCTTGGCCGTACATAAAGCGATGACGAAGGCTGGATATGACGCCAATACTCGCCCATCACCTCAAACTCAGCAAAGAGAAAGGGCACATTGTTCATGTCGGTCATGAGAATTGAGGTGGCCATAGGCATGATGTCTGGTGTGGCCGTGGCCACACCGGCAAAGCATGGCTGTGACGTGTCGTTGCAAAGGACCTTGTGGTTGGTATCGGTCAGCGAGACGTAGGTATCACCATACATGGACAGCACCTGAACCCAACCACCCTCCTCCACATCCATGAGACAGAAGACGTTGTACGCAACGCCAAGCTTGGGCTGGATCCAATAGTATCCCGACTCGGAGTCAGGATGCACGGCCAAGATGGCTTCGCAAGAGGCAGCCGGAAACGCGGCGGAGTCACCGATTGAACCAAAAGCCACAGTATCGACCTTTGCTGCCAAATCTTCCACCAGACCTTCCAGCGCAGCCAGACCTTGCTGCAGCTCTGTCCGCTCTGCTGCGGCGATGCTGTCCTGGTCTGCCAAGCCATCGAGCGCAAGAGAGATGTTGGCTTGCAGTCTGGCCGATTCATTGGCCATGATCTGCGCAACGGCAGCGAGTTCGGAGATATTGGCGTGGATCGATGGTATGGTCGCTTCCAGATCATGGACACGAGAGTCAAGGCCTGCCAGGTCATCAACCAGCGCCGAGATGTTTGTTTGCAGGCCTGCCCAACCCAGCTCAAGAGCTTGTGTGCGCGCACCCAGTGCGGTCAACTGCAAAGCAAAGCTGCTGTTCAAGCCAGCATGACTGTCAGCGAGCTCATCGGCCAAACCCTGCACGGTATCATTGAGTGCCTGCAGCTCATCTAGGCGAATGGGATGATGATATCGGTTGAACAATTAACCAAGAAGGCATTATGTAGAGTGGTGAGATTGGGCCTGTGGCGTGTGCGCTTGCTTGCTTGCCAAAGGCCTGACAGAAAAAGCACATGGGGTAAGCTTGTTCTACATACCTTTGGCAGCTAGAGACTGCTGCGCCTGCGAGAGTTCGGTTAGCGCCTGCTCCATCGATTGAACCTAAACATCGGGCAAAGTCAGCGGTTACAGGAATAGCGCGTCGAACAGCGTGTGAGCAGCAGCGCTTACCTTGTTGATCAAAGTGTCCACCAGCACGCCCGACTCGTCACTGGCGGTGCGCAACAGGATCTGATCGCCCTGCAAGATCAGATCGCCATTCTGAACCGTCAACTCGGGCTCCAGCGCTGTCAGCGTCGTCGATATTGACGTCAGTTTCAAGGACATCCGCAAAGCAAACCCAGCCAGTCCGATCCGATGCCCCGCCTCGAGCGCGCACACTCACACACAAGCACACGCTTTTTACTGCCCTGCAATCCCAAAGCAAACTACGTACCCGCTGCCAAAGCCAACAAGGCCAGACCTCCCAACAACAGCACCCTCATTGCGACAATTGCAAAAAGAAGAACAAACTGAAAATGATACAAAAAAAAATAAAATAAAATTGCCGCTCCGCGATTCCGTGGCCTTGAAATACTTGTGCGCGCCTGCCTTTGTTGCCGGTGCTCTCTCTGTCTCTCTTCCCTCTCCTCCTCTCCTCTTCTCCTCCTCTACTCTCCTCTTCCCTCCTCTACTCTCCTCTTCTCCTCCTCGACTCTCCTCTTCTCCTCCTCAACTCTCCTCTTCTCTCCTCAACCCCGTCTGCCTTGACTTACATACGAGCATCCGGGTGTTGCTACATGTCACGACATTTGGTCCGCTTTTGAGTGTTGTCATCATTTTTATTATGACTCACTTTTTATGCGCATTTTCCATGAATTTTTGAGGCATTTTTTGGGCCCCTGATGCTCCGATGGTATTCGGAAGAGGATTGAAGGTTTTGATGTTGTAGACAGCAAGGAGCATCGCGGGCCACGATGTTATGAACAAAAAAAAAAGCATGGATAAAGTGGGCTGATAGCACAATATTCACTCGGATGCCGCAGCGTCCAACTTCCATCGGGGCTCTACATCGGTGCGAGCGATCTGAACCATCACGAAGCGAGTTTGAGGCGCATCAAAATTTTTTTTTGCATCCCTGCCTCTTCTCAATCAGGCTGACCTGACCATTCAATTAATCCTCTATCCATGCCGTACCATAATTGCATTCAAATGATACCGAATCGATTATTGAGTCTAGGTTATCATACGAATGTGGCTCGTGTTTACAGTTCAGTCTCTTCAAAGTCTTGGACATCAAGCGCCAAATTGGCCACGTAACCCGGAGGACTTTGGGGCAAACGGCCTCCTTGTTGGATGACGGCCCGACCCAATTGTTCCCGCACCTGTACCATAGCCGGGCGGCGTTCTATCTCTTTGACCATACATTTTCGCATGAGATCATAGATGTCGTCGGGCATTTGCTTGTTGCTCGGCCGCGATAAGCGCAATCCATTGGAGACAGCCTGAAGAGCCTCGACGGCTGCCAATTCCTTGTAAGGCACCTCACCACCCGAAAATACTTCAAATAACACCACCTAGCGCCAAGCCATTGCACGACATGAGCCGATTCCAGAGCTCTGTTCGTTGTACTGTTGGACCCCCCTCAGCAAGTGTTTCAGAGACCCAACATCCCCGACTCCGGCTTCGGGGCAACAAAGAACAAATAGCACTTCAAAACGAAAGACAACACCAAACCTACGCCAAAGGAAAAGACATCGGACTTGGTCGTATACTTGCGACTCTTCACGGCTTGTGGATCTTGCCAGCGCAAGGGGACACGATCGTCTGATTGTTTCTACTCATCAGCACACGTGTACGCAGTGAGGAGCTGGTCTTCGCGACGGGGGGTCCGCCAAAAAACAAGCAGAAGCACATAGTTCCCAATAAAGGGACCCCACGCCCGCACGCCTCACCTTGTAGTATGCGCTTTCATTCTGCACGCCTCGTGCCAAGCCCAGGTCGGCCAGTTTCAGCAACCTTCCACAATTGGTCCACATTCTGCTGCTGGTCTGCGTGTGAAGAACGCTGCAAGAAAATAGCCGCGCATCTTGATTAGCACACACATCGCAAAAGAGCTTTCGACCAGGTGCGCCACCCTCATGCACCATCTCCCACCCCGGGTGCCTCGTTTATGATGTTCAAGTAACCGTGCAACATACTTGCGGCAAGCCAGATCGCGATGAATGCAAAGCTGTTCATGGAGATACTCCACGGCGGAGGCAATTTGCCATGCCATGTCCGTATAGGCCAGGGCCAGACCGCAGGGAAACGCAGCCGCCCGACTCGTTCGCAACATGGTAAGCAAATCACCACCCTCGCAAAATTCCATCACAAGCTGAACGGGAAAGTATTCATCTTGCAACGCTTGCACAGTCACAATGTTTGGATGTTGCAACGCGCCCAGCACGCGTGCCTCCAGCAAAAACTGTGTCACCACGCGTCGGGCCATGGGGGTTAATTCACCGTCCGCACTCGTCATCATCAGGGTATTTAGTTTGGCCGTCTTCACCGCCGCCTCGCCCACCGGTACCGCATCCGCGCGCTGCGAGGCAGGGCGTCGTTCTGAGACGGGTTTGAAGGCACAGAGTTGCACCTCGCCGTACATGCCCTGACCAAGCAAGCGCAAGGGCTCAGATATCTCATCTGGGTACGCGCGGTGCAAGTCAGCGAGCGCCAGCAACTGCCCATACTCCAGACGAAGGCGCTCCTCCACCTACGTCATGATGTTGCACAAGCACACCGCATTCATGAGCGAGCAACAAGATGTAGCCCCGCTTGTCGAGCACCGAAGGACAAAGAAAAACAAAACACAGAGACGAGGAAGACTAAGACGCCGTGCCCTCACAGACACAAGCCGCCCATTCGCAGAAGCACGGTGCTCATGGTACACAAAACAACAATATCACCAGACCTCATCCAAGATGGCGGCTGGAACAGGCAATAGACTTGGATCCGGCTTGTAACGGGCAGTCGGCCCATGCTCAAATCTTCCTCGCCGGCGTCGCCAGTTGACCAAGAGCAAGCCAAGTATAACGAGTGCAATGACGGCAACAATGGTGCCCATGATGGCAGGCTCCATGCCCGAAGTAGAGCGGGCTGGCATGGGGTCAAAGGTCGAGCCCACTTGCGGCCGGCTGGCTTTAGTTGTTTCCAAGGTGGTTGATTGCGAGCTAATTGTTGTGGGTGCGAAAGACGTGGACATACTGGCCCTTGGGGTGACGGTGGACATGATGGTATCGTTGAGGCTGACCGTCTGTATCGATCCAAAGCCTAAATTTGGTGCACAAGACTGCAGCTCAAGTGGATCAAGTAGAGATTGGCTGTTCCATGAACCACAAAAAGTGCCGCTCGTGCCATTGAGAAAGCAAGCACGACCAGTACTTTCAGCCGTTGGCCAGCACACCTATATGCGCACGAAAACGACGGTGGAGTCACACAACGCTGGCTAAAACAACAATCACAACAATCTTAACAGTAACAATTAGAAAATCAACAGGTAAACTTACATTTGACTGCAGTGTTGTGTTGGTCAACGTGGCACCGTCATCTTCGCAACGAATGTTGCCATCCCCAGAAACACAGTCAAAGTCGAGTCGCAGCTGCTTGTCTGGGGTCTCCACCAGCTGACCAGGGCAGAGGGCCGCGACGTTTCGCTGGGCAAAGCAGCTGACGGCAGGCTGAAAGGAGCGAAAGTCATCGAGGGGTTGGCACTGAGCAAACTCAGTCGCTGAGGCGTTCGGTATGTAAGTCGCTGGATTGGCCAAGATCAAAGCCACGGAGTCCATGGTGGTGTTTGTAATCCAGTAGCGGCCCTGGGCCCCACTGCCGGTGTCCAGGACATAACTGTTCGCAATGGGAGCAAAGCAGAATTGTGGATTGAAGGCACCGCATCCGTTGCCAGGGAAGAAGCGACACAGCAGGGGTGCTGCCAACGCAGTGGACCAGTTTGCCAATGGCCAAGACATCCAATTGAAGACCAAGTCAACGCCCACGTTCTCAGGCTCATCGATAATCACATACGCTGTGATGTCGCGTTGGGTTGTTGTTGGGTTGTGAGGCAAGAAGACCCAGCGAAAATTAAACGTGCTCGAGTCCTTGGGCACATCCACCCGCAGGCCATCCACGACGAGTACAACGCGGTGTGTGGTGCGAAAGGAGAGGCCCACGGCCTGGGCTGCCAAGAGAGTGGTGTTGGTGATGACAGTCTGAGCTCGAATTACCGCGGGAAACACCCACGGCATTGTGGCAGAGAACGGCACCTTATTGCCATCGACCACAGCATGCAGGCTTAAGGAGTGTCGTTGCCACTGCCAGGTGGACATCCGTGTGCTGGCGTTGAAAAGTCCATCCAAATAGAATGGGTCGCGCTGGAGCAAAGCGTCCGGCATAAAAGGCAGCTGTTGAAGGCTAAAATTCCAGACGGCAGGAATTGGCGGGAGGCTATTGACGTCGTTTCGATCCATGTCCTGCATAACTACCCGCTCGCAAGTGGGCACTTTGTCCGTGTGCCAGCGCCAATGCCCACGATCACAAAAATATCGCAAGCTATTTTGACCTATGGGCTCGAAGCATGGCGGTGAGACGCAACAATCAGAGCGGTTGCAGCGTGGTCCAAGTTTTGTCAGTAAAAAGGCCCACGACGTAACGTACTTGCGACGTAACCTTCACCACAATCAGCTATGCAGTCAAAGCCAAAGTACGTGAAAGGGCAATCCAGATGCCCGTGTGCGTTGAAGTTTTTGAAAGCGACATCAAATGCCGACCCCAATACCGGCTCGCAGCTTTCATGCCATTCCGTAGTCACACGTTGCGCCCCGCCCAAGTCCAGCAGTGTAGCTTCACCTCGGGGCAGCACAAGACCATCCTTCCCATTTTCTTGCAGCGCGCGCGCACAATCAAGCCAGCTTTCAAAAGTCAGAAGCACGACATTTCTGGGATCAAAGCGACGGACCATGTATACTGGCGCAAAGAGTAACGAGTCAACCGGCGTAATGTGGCACACATCCAAAGAGGCGGGCATGCAGTCGGTCAACTGAAAACAGAGCGTCGGATCGGACAACCGGTTTTGACGCACGAAGATGCGAGGGATGGTGAGCGTATCTGTGCGCACCAAGGCAATACGCAGCTCTGGTACGTTGGCAGAGATTGGGTACAAAAACACATCGTCATGATCGTGCTCCAGTGTTTGACCATTGACGAGAAGCCGATCCCCAGACTGGGTTTCGTAGCGGATCTGCAAAACACCGTTTCCCTGTGTAGGAAAGACACTCACTCCGACAGCCACGGCGTCTGGGCTCGTGTAGTACACACGTGTCGTGTACGTGTCTAGGCTTGCCAAGAGACTCAAAGCGTCCGAGTTCCCAATGTGAGGCAGCAGCGTCCTAAGACCGGGCACAATGCTCGAAGCGTTGAAGGTAGAGGAATTGACGTCCTCAGTTGAGAGCAGCGAGGCGCTGCAAGGCGCTTGCGCTCCTGCTGACATATCAGAGACATGCCAGCTTTGATTCATGCAGACGGCGGTGACTGGAACGCCCGAATTTTCGCAAGCAAGTATGCATTCCGCGTCTGGCATGCCGGCGCAGTTCTGCAGCCGTGGACAGACAATGCCCGAGGCATTCACCACAGTGACGCATTGAGAGAAACCAGCCTAGTAAACAACGACCCCACGAGCATGGATATGACCCACGATGAGCAGATGATGGTGTATAGCACGCTAGCGTACCTCGCGCACAGCCTCAAAGTCTGGCTCACCCATCTGCTTGCTCAACACCCCCCCCCCCCCCCCTTCCAAAGCAACGCCCGTACCTGCTGTGGATTGTGTTGGCCTGAAGCGGGTATCTCAGCACCGCACGTCATGTCCCAAGCACGCTGAAACAACAAATAAAAGCGATAGAATCCGGGTTCCAAGGGCAAAACGACCAGGCTTCGCTCACTGAGGCGCAAGTTGGGAAGCGAGTATTGACCGAATAACGGCATGACAAATGCCAAATCGCTGGGGCCAGTGATTGCAAGCTGTCCGCTGGTGTCGGTGACCTCAACGACCTTGTGCAGCACATCGTGGAGGCGTGTCCAATCTGGTCGACCTTGCAAAGTCAGACTGTGGTCGAAGAGCGACTTGAAGCTGGCTGCGGCGTTGTGCACGGCGACCATGGCGTCGATAGTGCACGTGGCGTCTAGATGCTGCGCAAATAGTTTGTCCACAGTGCCACGGAGGGCAAGATGGCGCGCACATTCTTCCTCAGAGGGTGGATAGCTTGCGTCAGCTACGATCGGCGCAACCCAGCACGTTGGCCAAGGCGGGTCACAGCTACCGCTGTACTGGCATTCGCAGGCGACAAGGCTCAGGTTGACAAAGGCGCTAGACGCAAGATTGAACTTTGGGCTTGCAAAAGAAAACTCTGTTGTGGTGCCTACATGGCATTGAGTGCGGACAACACGGACTGGTCAGGCGACAGCACTGGGATGCAAAGGTTGAGGATGAAAACCTATGAGACGTACCGGCAAACACAACGCAATTGGCATCGTCATCGGTCCAGGCAGAGCCGTTCTGACAACGCACGGGCTTGACCAGCACAGCAGATGGACATGGCCAAATGTCAGAAAAACGTTGATAGGGTACTTCGACGGTGTCCGTCCCATCCAGGCCGATGCATAAATCTGCTCCCAGGGATGCGTTCCGGTAACGAAGCGTGCTGTTGGACACGGTTGGTGTAAAGCGTGCATCGTATAATCCACCTTGGATTAAAGTCACGCGCGAGGAGGTTATGTTGGCCGCTACGGCCGTGGTGCAGGTGGTGTTCTGGCCTAACAACAGCGGTGCATCCACCCACAGGTCCGAATTCTTGATTTGGAGGGGGTTGCAAGTCTTGATTGCAACTGTCGCTGAAGTCAATTGCACGCGGCCTGATAGGGTCAGCTTTGCTTCGCCGAGCAACTCGATCGGCACGAGGGCGTCAATGACCACATTCGCGGCGTAGAGCGTCGCGTTTGTACTCAAGCCGGCGTTGGCTGTGAAGTTGCTCAGGTGCAAATCGCCCGAGTGATGCACAAAGGAGAGGAATGTCCCATTCAAATTGGCGTTTGCTACGCGAACGTTTGCAAGAGTATTCAGAGTGTCGGGGGCTGCGCCATAGATCGCTATGCCATTTTGAGTGGCGTTGACGATGCTCACGTTCTCAAGCTGGGCATCGGATGCAGTCAGCATGAAAGCAAATCGCTCCTGCGCATCCACGAGTACGAGGTTGGAGATAACCGGCGCCTGCGCGGCCACAACGAGATGTCCACGAGTAATGTGTACGTCGTGCAGAGTCACGCGACTTTGATCGCCCCCCACGTAAAAGTTCCAGTCAGGGGAAGGGGACGACATTTCGACCCAGCTTAGATCTATATTGCTTTTATCAAGCAGCAGCACCAGCATCAAGACGGCGTTTCGAAGCCGAATGGGCCGGTCAGGAGAGCCACGCATGGTCAGCTGTGTACTTGGACAGCCGTCCTCTATCGCGGCATTAGCTCTTGCTATACTCGTGGTGCCCGCAAATCTGACGTCAAGAGCCGTGACCAGGAGTTGGGCCTGGCGTTCGCACCCATGGCCCAGGCTAAACAAGACAACGTCCGCGATATTCAAAGGGTCGAGCCAATGCACACGGACGGCACCATCCACTCTCAGTACCGTGTCTGGGTTTCCAGCAAGCGTGTTGTCATATAGGGTAGCATTTGCACCGCCGGCGCGAATACCAGTGTTGCTGGCCTCAAGCCAATTGGCCTGCGTGCGAGGATCTGTGGCCCCTCCGAGCACAGCGTGCAAGGCTGCGAAATCGAGCCAGACTGCCACAAAACTTCCGAGCACGATGTTGCTTTCAAAAACAGCCGTGTTGCATTGGACCACGACAATGCCCAAACCATAGTAGCTGAAGGTATTGCGCAAGCTATGCAGCGCACCTCCCTCGAAATAGATGCCGTAATGCTCCACGACATTTGGCACATTGTCGACAATGGTCATGGCGGTATTGTCCACTACCGTCCAGTTGGCATGACTCTGGCGGATGTCAATGGCGTGCTGAAGCCGGAAAGAGGCAATAATGTGGTTGTTTTGACAAAGGCCATGGCCAGGCTCATCGTCTGTGCTTTGACCAAAGCCCAGCACGGCCAGGCGTGCGGTATTTGGTATCGAAGAGCCGTTGGCCAGGGCAAAATTGATGGTGTTATCGACGGCCAAGCACTGGGAACAGGTGGCGTAAACGCCGCGACTGCCAGTCACCAGGTCGAGAATATTTCGAGTGAGCAGTAGGACACGACTGTCGATCATGAGACAGCCGTGGGTGTAAATGCGCCAGTGCACTTGAAGTGAGGCAAAGTTGTCCTCCACCATGACGTGAGAGAGAAATTGGGTATAGATGAGACCGCCTCCACCATTGAAAGTGTTTTGAGCCACGACGGCACGTGTGCCGTTGAGAATAAACACCCAATAATCCAATTGCGTGCTTTGAGGGGTGGCAAGGAAGGTGTTGTTGTAAACGCTCACATTGGTGGCATCAAGCAGGTGGATGACACCCACCACCCGTGTGACTGCAGAGGCGTTGCCAAGTTCGATCTCATTGCGGCTCACATTGACAGTACGAGCGGGTTTGTCCAGGTAAATTAACCCCGCTGTGTGACAGTCGAGAGCAGAGTCGGCTAGGGAAACAGAAGAGTCAGCGAGGAGCAGGTGGTTGGCCGCTCCGCGGATTGCCAAGCAAGCCGTGATATGGCTGTGGATGATCTCCAAAGATCGTGCGGCCCCAAAGGGTGAGACGATCCCCAACATGCTTGCGATGGATGTATGTTCGACAGTCAAAGTTCCATTGGTGGCCAAGCTCAGCGCGGCATCCGAGGCGAAGAGAGCGCTGTTATACAGCGCGACGATGGAGTTTTGGGCCATTACCATGATGGCAACTGCAAGTCCCATGCATGTGTGAGATGGTCGAGCGTGTGAGGACCGATAATGTCACTCAGGGCCGGCCGCAATGATTACATTGAGTCCCCGGCTGGCCTCTCATCCCAAACGAGCACGGAGCCAAGAGCGAATCAGCAACGTACCATCGGTGCCCGAAATATGAGAGTCCTTAATGACGACCTGGGCATTGTGTCGTGACACCAGCAGCGCAATGCTAGCAGCTTCCAAGCGCACGCCTTGTAACCAGATACGGGTGCCTGTGAGGGTGAGGCTGCTGTTCGCATGGGGCTGCACGAGCGTGACATTGGTCGTGTTGAGCTGAAAATTGCAAGCAATTGTCAGGTCCGCCTTCAAAATGTGGATGGCGGCAAGGTTGGGGTGAAAATCGAGCGTGCAGGTAGTTTCAGCCTCCACGTCCTCAAGCGCTGAAAGATAGGTGTCAAACTCCTCCTCTGCAAGGGGTGGGGAACCCAAATGCCACAAACACAAGCATGGTTGTCAGATAAGGTGCTGAGTGCACCAGGGTTGTTGTTGTTGAGGGAGGCTCCCCTTCCCCCGCCACCCCCCTCACCCCCTTTTTTTTGCTAGACGCGAGGGAAATATTTGGCAAGCATCTCCCGCCTCAAACCCAGTTTCCGAGCTGATGAGGCGCAAAACAACGCACCATTTGAGGCCGCAAAATGGACGCCGTCTGCTGTCACATGAGTGCTTGCACACGTCAGAATGACGATGCAGCACACTAAAACAGCGCGCACCAGGTACATATTCTGGAGGACGCCAGCTGCTCCTGGTTGAGATCGCAACTGCGATGCGGGCCGAACAGCCGACCGGTTACCGGCCAGCCTCATCCTGCTGCTGTCGGGCGATCAAAGAGCCCATTCACATGCTTGCAGCATGGCACAGCGTTGTCGCCTTGTCGTTCTCTCCTTATCTCAAGCCACATACCATCTAGACCATCTCGACCACCTCGACCATCTCGACCATCTCGACGCGCATTCTCACTCCATAACGACACCCCACGCCGCTGACGCCCAAAGCCAGTCGATGCCTGCTTCTGCCCAGCTCAGCAGTCACCTTTTATCTGACATCTCTCTCTCTCCTTTCTCTCCTTTTTCTCTCTACATGTGGTAGTTGTGCTATTCCTCTGTGCCTTTGCTGTTCTTTCTACCTTTCTCTTTCTCTTTCTCACTCACTCACTCTCTCACACACACACTCACACCACACACACTCTCTCTCTGTTAGAGAACGCCTGAATGCAACAGTTGTTGTTGCCACTGGTTCTCGGTGATTTGGAGAAGACGGCCGATTGAGCTGGCGCAACCTCTGGCGAGTCTTGCGTCTTGGGTGGCACGCAAGCAGGGCGGGTCTTGGTCGGCCCTTTGGGGTGTTGGATATTTGATTGAGACGTGAATGATCTTTGCTGTAGCCTGCACGAGTGGTCGCTTTTTGGTAGCTTTGCTTTGAGGCCTCAGTGCCAACGTAAACCGGCTGAGCGACTGCTATTCATCACACATCATGGCAGGCCGGTTCAGTGTCTACGATTATGATGACGGTGCGTGCTCCACTGTTCGGCGCAAGGCCTGTTTGGAGAGAAAGACCTGATCGATGTTTTTTTTTTCTTTTTGGCTTCATCGGCAGATCTTGGAGGCTTTGGTGGGATTGGTGCCTTTGGCAATCGCTTCAATGACTTTGACGATTACCAGGATGATGATGCGGTCAGTCACCTAGCCATCAGCCCGGCGTGAGGCCCTGAGGGATATTCTTGATCTTCAGCATCGGTGCGCTCACTGCACCAGCATTATTTCATCTTTCTGTCTTTTGGCTTGCCTTCTATTACCTTTGGGCCTGCAGGGTGCTGGAGGCGAAATCGAGGAACAACCCATCTTTGACAAGAAGAGCTGCTTCCGGTCTGTTATCCAGCGACGCTTGTGCCGATCCGAGTCTGAAGAGCTAGCGGGGGATGCGCCATCTTGGTGCAAATGGACGTCAATCGCAACCACGTAACGCTCATGCATCTGTTTCCAACGCTAGTGATCGTGAGGAGCGCATCGTAGCCGTGGGCGCAGCCAATGACAAGCTCTTCATCGCTCAGCGTCCCAACACTGTGGGCATGTATCGCCCGCAAGTGAGCAGCCCCGAAGGTAATCATTCGCTCCAATCTTCATATGCCTCTTTGTTCCCAGCAAATCCCTCTTCTTCCACCCAAGCCCCCACCTTGTTTTTCTGCCCAGCTACTATGCTTTGAGCAAACATTAAGCTTCGGGGCAGCTTCGGGCCGCCCTCAGCCGTGTCACTTTCCCTTTCTTTGATTCATTGCGTGGCAACTTCTTGAGCTGGTTTGTTCATTTGGCTTGCTTTTGTTTTGATGTCCTTCTCTGGTGGTGGCGCTCGTATTTTGGCAGAAACCTTCGACGTGTCCGACTACCTCCAAACCGTATCCAACCTTTTCGTGGATCCCCAAGGAATCCATCTCATCGTCTGGTACGGACAGAGCCCTTGCTGTTGCACAACTGCCATTGAACGATGGCATTGCGTCGTGCTCTCATGCCCGCTCAATGCTTGATGGTCGTGTGGTCTTGAGGCAGTGGTGAAACGGCCGAGGGAAACCATACCACGGTGTACGTCAACACACACACACATCAGCGCACCAAGTGCGCTCCCATCCGACCGCTACAGAGCCACCGCGTGACTGCCGTGGCCTGGGACCCCGTCTTTCGCGACGAATCAAGCTCTCACTCGGGCGTATGTAGCTCCACACTCTTTGATATATCTTTGTGCCAACACCAACACCGCCGCACACCTCCTCACCTCATACCCACGACCTTCGCCCCAATGCCACAGCACGTTCTCGTGGGCACATTTGATGGTGCCGTCTACTCAGTTGTATTTGACGGTGGCGTGCGCGATTGCGAATCGGTAAAGACTTGTCTCCTCTGATTGTCCCTCTAAATTTTTTTTTTTTTGGGGGAGGTTCTCGTCGTTTGCGCACAGTATTCACAAATGTGCATCCCTCCTCTCCCGTTCTCAGGTGTGGAGCTTTCCTCAAGTTCGCGGTCGGCCCTCGCCCATTTGCTCCCTTCATGTTGAATTACTCAGCGGTGGCGAACTCTACGTTACCGTCTCTTCGACTCAGTACGCTCTCGTTGATCCCAATGAACACCACGCTTCTTCTTTCGACTGGCGCCTGCAATGCTATTACGTTCCAAAGTCACGACCACGTGCCCGTGTAACAGCCTCTTGAAGCAATTCATGGCCCTGCCCAAGGCTAACGAGCGTCATCCTTATGCTTTTGTGTTCAAGCACCCACTACCCAGTACGACACGTCTCCTCTCTTGCCTTCCCAGCTAACCAGGCATGTGGCCTGATGAGTGTCGCCTGGCTACTTGTGTAGATGCTGAGCAGGAGGTGATGGTCCCGATCTCGCGATCACAACTGGTTTACCACGGTCGACAGGGCGAGACAGCGTCGGCTTTTGCGTGGTTGACTGGCCAGGGTTTGATTGTGGGCAACTTGGATCTTGAGCTGGCACGCACCGGCAACCGCTCCGCCATCCCGTCGTATGATGTGCTGCCCTACGATGTAGCCTTTATTGATGGGGATGAGGTGCCTCGGAACCTGGGCGAGGACCGCGCCAATCCTGACAGTGACCCACGTAATCCCCAGGCCATCATGCTCACCCAGTTTCACGTGCTTCTCTTGTATCCCCGTGCCCTGCGCATTCTGTGCACGCTGAACAAGCACGCCATTCCGGGACAAACGTTTCGCCCTGCTCAGGGCGAAATGCTCAACTTGGTGCGCGACGAGAGCAATCAGAAAGTCTACTGCTTCTCCAAGTGAGTAGAACCGTCAATCGCTTGTCCGTTGATTGAAGCAATTGCTTTACACCCTGTTGTACCACGAGCTGACAGGAGAACCATCGCTTCTTCTCTCCTTGTTGCCGATTCACAGCAAAGCCGTCTTTTATATCGAAGCCCACAACGAGGAGCGCGACGTATGGCGCCTGTACCTGGAACGCGGCAATTTTTACGAGGCCATTGAGCATGCGGGCGGCGATGCGCATAAGATCAACCAAATTCGCGTCGCACAAGCCGAGGCTCTCATGGCGGACGGCGCGTATACTGAGGCAGCCCACATTTACGCCAAAACAAATGCATCGTTCGAGACTGTGGCCCTGAAACTGCTCGATCAAGGTTGGATTCCAGCTCGCAGAATTTCTGCTGATCTAAGGGAAATAAATTGCCAATTTCAATCCTGTTCGGGTCCTGATGATGTGTGCCAACCATGCGGATCCGCATGGACACCGCCGTCCGTCTTTATAGGCCCAGAAAACTACGGTGCACTGCGCAACTACCTGCAACAGCGCCTGGGTCAACTGGCGGACACGGAACCGACCAAGATTGCTCTGCTCATCACGTGGATGATCGAGTTGTACCTGACCTCTCTCAATGCCATTCGCTCGGTGCGTTTTGATTGTGCAGCGGCGGGCTGATCCTTGGCCAGCCTGGGCGTCTCGGCTGCGTCAGTCTCACATTTGCTCTGTTCATGCCACTTTGCGATCTTTACACATCAAACATCACGCAGTCCAAAGGCCACGACAGTGCTGATTATGCCCGCCTATTTGGCGAGCTGAAGGAGTTTCTGAACCGTGGCATTTGTCGCACCAATCTGCACAAGGAAACGGTACGTAGAACATTGTGTCAGTTTTTGTTGTTGACTGGTACAGGCAAGGCCAACTGTGTAAGGAGAGTTCATGTTGGCATCAACACGCATCTGTCGACTCTGCGACGGCGGCTTGCAATGCTTTATAGGTGCTGGATCTGATGCGGGGCCACGGCAACGTGGATGCACTCCTCTTTTATGCCGAGCAACAACAAGATTTCAAGGTCAGAGCTCGAGGAAGACACAGCCTTCACCTTGTCGGTGCAATCTTTGCTCACCGTGATGGGCACTCACAATGCTTCGCTCGAGCAGGAGGTGATTCAGCACCACATTCAAATGAACAACATTGATGGCGCAATTTCTGTGCTCAAAGACCAGGTTGGGCTGCTCTTTGGTGCGCGTGCGTGGGACCTCTTCGTCAATCTCACGCGATGAACCTTGACTTTGTCGTTTCTCTAGATCGACGAGCGCCCCGAACTCTTGGCCATGTTTGCAGCACATATCATTCAACATCGGCCCCAGGAGCTTCTCGACATTTGTCATCTCAACTCGCGCATTGATGCCGGGCAACTTATTCCAGCCTTTGTGCGGTATGTGATCGTGGTGCTCTCTTGTTCTCATTGTTTCTTCTCGATCTCTTGCCGGGCTGCAATGCTCACGCATATGATCTTCCTTTTTGCTGGCTGCAACAGGTATCAACAGCAAGCCAATTGCAAGGCAGAAACCCTGGATGCCATCCGCGCCTACCTTGGTACGGTTGGGATCTATCGTTTGCGGCTCTTTTGCTGCCCTCGCATCCTTGGCCGGGGCCTCATGCACCTTGTGTCGTGCTTGTCAGAGTGGGTGATTGAGCGCAACCCGCGCAGCAATGAAAGCGTCTACAACTACCTTGTGTCCCTCTATGTCACTTTGGACCAGGAGCAGCCCTTGCTGCGGTACGCCCCCACATTTGAACGCTTGGGGTTAATCGCCGAATTGATTTCGTTTCCAACACAGTAATGCCCCCACCTGCCTTTGATGCGCATGGTCACAGATTCTTGAAGGAGCAAGAAGAGCGCCCGCAGTTTGATCGTGATTATGCCTTGCGCCTGTGTCACGAAAAGAACAAGCTGCGTGCGTGCGTTGAGCTCTACTCCTCCATGGGCATGTTTGAGGAGGCCGTCCAAATTGCCTTGCAGGTACTGGATGCTTAGACACCGTTATGTCAATTTGTTTTGCAGTTTCTCTTTTGCAAGTGGCCACTTTATCTCGCAGTGCTTTTTGAGACGTTCCTCTGAATGACTTTGCGGGGTATGCACACAGGTTGGCAGTCAACAGGCCGATGCCAAGCTTGAGCTGGCCACCTCAATCATCGAGCGGGTCAAAGAGGAAGAAGCCGATAAAATCATGTCCGCTGACTTGCCGAAGAAGCTGTGGTCCATGGTGGCTGAATTTACCGTCAAGGAGATTTGTGACGTTCCGCTGGCCATGAAGGTTAGCTGCCCAGTGGACGGACGGCGTTGCTCACTATGTGGTAGTAAATGTAACATCTTGTCGTGAGTTGACGCCTTCTTCTTGGTTTCCGGACTCATGTTCAGGTGTTGGAGCAAAGCCAAGTGTTGAAGATTGAGGACATTTTGCTTTTCTTTCCCGATTTCTCGCGGATCAACGAGGTTCAGGTGAGTTGTGCGCATGCTCATGGATGTGCTATCAACACGCTGGTCCCATGCGTTCACATCACCACGGTGGTTGCAGGAGCACATTCAAACTAGCCTCCAGGAGTACAACAACGAGATTGGCAACCTCAACGAAACCATGAAAGCAGCCCAGCTCTCCGCCAAAGCAATTCGTGGCGATATCCAGGCCTTAAACCAGCGGTACACAGTTGAACCTTTTGCGACTCACAATCCCAAGCTTCAGCGCTTGACTTTTTCCCCCTCATCTCGTGTCCTTTGATTTTTCCTCTATATAGATACCAAGTGGTGACAGGCAACATGAGCTGTGGATTGTGCGACTACCCCCTGATGTCGCGCGCTTTTTACGTCTTTCCCTGCTCCCACGCGTTTCACAAGGACTGCCTGATTCGAGATGCAAGTGCCTGTGCCTGACACTCGGGCCGATTCCAGTTCCTTGTGACCTGTGGTAGATAGGGAGGTGGTGCAGGCCATATGTGTAGGAACGATTCAACTAACGTGGTGGCTTGTGTAGGTCGTGCGATTCATCAAGCCGTCGGAGCGTAAAAAGGTGGATCGGCATCAGCGCGACTTGAAACGCGCGCGGGAGGACCCCAACTTCCGCGTCGACGTAGTACGACTGAATGTACGCTTTTCAAAGCCGGCATCAATCAGATGACGGATTCAAGTCTGATTTCCTTGCTCGGTGTCTGCATTCATGTCACACCTGCCTGCTTGTAGCGGGAGATTGACGAGATTGTGGGGCAAGATTGCTCGCTGTGTGGTGAAATGGCCATCCGTGCCATCGACGAGCCCTTCATTCCTGATGTAAGCAGTGATGTTATCTTTCTTGGCTTTGCGGACAGTTTGGAGCGTGGCCCCACGGTGCTTGGCCGGTCTCAGGTCGAATACTCACCCCAGGATGTGCAATGTCAACTACGTACTTTAGGAATTACTGCCAGAGTATGTGGAGAGCTGGTCCTTGGGTGATCTCAATGTCGCGCAAACCTTTGGAATGAGCGAGGAGGATCGTGAGCGCCTGGAGCTCGAGGAGGAACAGGATGGCGATGCAGACTTGTTGGAGGACATGGACGACTTTGATCCTTTGGGTGACCTGGACGTGTAAACAGCACGCTGATCTGCTGTACACGTGCCACGCGTCACTTTGACAAACACGATTAGCCGTATTGAGTCCGCCTTCTTCCTTTTCTTTTTTTTTCTCCCTCGTTTGGCTTGGAACGGGTATGAGGCGCATTTGGGAATTTTTGTTTTGTTCAGTGCCAATTGACTAGCCGCAATAGATTGCGCACTTGAGATTAGATAATGTAGATCAACACTCGGAACAAAGTTAAACAAAGTCATGATAAGCACTCAAACAACACGTTTCAAATGCCACCTAAGCTAAGTCGAGAGCTCCTCGCCGTGAGATCATCAAGGCCTGCCGCAATTGGATGAGCTCCTCTCGTGCCACCGTCTCCATCTGATGGGTCACGGGACAGGGCGGTTGAGTGAGCCAAGCGGCGCCACCCACGAGCAGCTGGTTGAGTGACCAGAGACGCCAAATGGACAGAGACTCGACTTCCTGGGACAAGTTGTATTAGTCTAGCCAAAGTTCTGATGCAGATTCTTTTCTTACCTGGCGACAGACATGCACAGAGCGACGGAACTCGGCAATGTTGGCCTCGATGCGATCCTGGATTGACCGGTCAGACCCATCAATTGCATACTGTGGGAGCGATCCACCAAATTGCGTGAGAAGACCATAATCCGGACGCCGCACGTAAGAGGGGTTCAACTCCACATCACCACTCGAAACGAATAAGCACCGAGCGCACTGACCTCTTCAATTGTGTCTTCGACCTCATCAACTTGCATGGCAAGGCCTCGGAAGGTGGAGGCCATTTCCATTGTGCGCAGCAGGCGCCCGCGAATGACCTCACAGAGCTTGTGCATGATGTCCAGTGCTCCTTGGGCCGAGGCTGTGACGGTCGATTCATCAACAATTTCGACGTCTAGAGCCGGCGTCCTGCTCACAACGCGATACTTGACCCCGCTGATCTTGGATGCAAGTTTGTCCATGGCAAGTTCCAAGGCCGCCTTGTTGCCCTTGAGTCCGGACCTGGCAATAATGTCAGCATTGTTGCGCTCGAGTTCGCTCTGGTAAGCCTTGAGTTCGAGAATGGCCGTATTGCAATTTCCAAACAAATTGTCCAGCTACGTAAAATAATTTGCCCACGAATGAGGATTCACATTGTCAACGATGGTGCCGCTTTGTTAGTCAATCACGTACCTGCTCGTGCCCGACCATTTCCAGCGTCGGGGCCTCAAAGTCCGCATCGAGAATGATTGATGCTCGTCGGCTACTACTCATAGGCAACACACATCCAAAGCAAAGTCAGCCACAGGGAACAAATGAGGAAGAAGGAAGCACATGGGGCCAGCCTAGAGTGCAAGGCAAGCGCACCCTTGTTTGTTGGAGAGCGCTGGGCGACCAGGTTTGTTTGTGCGCAGCTCTTCCTCTAGCGTCATCTGCACTTGGCGTTCCTCCAGAATTTGATGCGGCGACGATGACTCAAAATCCAGCTACGCACGAAAGACATCCGTGAGCGTTGGGCTTGCCAGACAGATGCTTAGTCGTGCCCACCACCAAGCACACGGGGCACAGGACAGACCTTTAAAAATACAGTCGAATTCTCGATGATACGGCCTTGGCGGTCGTAGAGCTGAACGGTGCGATAGCCCGGTTGTAATGCTTCGAACGGAAGCACAGCAGTCCCCAAAAAGTTGTCATGCACAATGTCATCATCCAACACCTATTGACACAGCCCCAATAAGCATCCCGCGCGGCAAAAAACGAAAAAAAACAAAACAAGAACAGTCGCGCCGTTGCATGGCAGGTCCAAGTAGCAACAGCCTACCAAGATTTGAAGGAGGGCCGAGGGTGGACAGGTTACGACAAATTTGCACGATTCATTCCAATATGGATCAATGGCATTATTGTCCAAGGCTCGGGTAGTGTGAGCCTCTCGATCGCGTGGCAGACCCAGAATCTGTGGGGGTATACATGTTGCGTGAGCGTGAGGGGCGTTTGCTTGAGATCAAGTGAAGATGGAGATGAGAATGGAATAGGACAACGAGGCACGCGAGGAGGGCCAGACCTCGATGTGAACGTAAGGATCGATGACGCGGAGGGTGGGGTTGGGCTGAGCAGCCTTGGCATCCGGTGATGGCTGCAAGTTCTGCGCACTAATGATGGTCACATCCAGGGCTCGCGTCGCAGCAACGGCATGCTCGGGCTTGGCCAAGACCTCAGAGACAGTCCAAGTGGGGTTGAACTCAGTGCCGGCATGAGAGAGAAAAAAGGGCTTTTCGACAAGACCGCGGGTGCGTTGGAAGCGGCCGTTGTTGATGTGCAAGCCAATATCACGGGTCTGATAATTGATGGGAACCAGCGAGCACCCGAGTGCCCACGACACGGATGGGTCCGGATTGTCTGAGTCAACACGTGAGCCTGCTGGGAAACAGCGTACAATGTACTTTTGTGCCAAAGTCACGAGAGCCTACGCAAAATAATGGGAGGTGGGGGGTGGGGGTGAGATCATTAGCAAAGGCTGTCAGCACTCCCGAACAAAATATAAACGAAAGCAGTACAGTCATGGCTCGGTGATGCTGGAAAGGAAAAAAAGAAGAAGAACAAACGGGGGTTGCGCTGGGAAGGGACACCATGTCGATGGGAAGATTGGCGCTTCCAACCTCAGCAGCGCCAGTATCAAGCGCCTTCACCAACGCCCGCTCGGAGATGCACAAAAGGTCGTTAGGAAGCACGCCACTGCTCAGCGTGGCCAAGGGATCCTTCACCTCAACGAGGCGCAACGTGACTAATCGAGAAAACCCTTCAAAGCAGTACGAAACACATGGAGTACCCCATACATGAGCTTGGGCTGTGTTTGGAGATGATGTGTCTTGCATACAACCATTTGAGCAAGGACAGGGGCGAGGGGCTAGAACCTTAAGGCTGGCAGTGATTACCTGGAAGGACCGGGATCTTTCGGGGTTCATCTTTGATCTTCTTATTCTTTTTGTTGCGCTTTTTCTTGACATCGGCATAAAAGGAGAACTCGTCGTACTCGAGCACATCGACTGGCTCATCTTGAGCCTCTTCGCGAGCGCCGAGCTTTTGGCTGGCGATGAAAACTTTGCCGCGCACCTTTTCCAAAAGAGGTAGGCGATTGCCACGCTGAGCATCAGGGACGTAAAGAATTGAGCCTGCAGTTTCAGTTGAGAGCAGCAGGTATTCGATGAGGAACAATGACATCAAGACATAGTGAGTCATAGGCCATACAGTCAGCTGGCATGGTTAGCAAGCAGGGCATCTCACCCAGATGACTCTTGATCGATTCGATGAGCTGCCTTTGAAGCTCAATGTCGTCGACATGCATTTCCATGATCAAGAGCAAGGGTGCGTCCGTGTCGGCAAATGCGTGGTCCTATCATACAAAAACACAACAGTCAAGGGAACAGCGCAGGGGCATTACGACGTGCGGATAAACATAAAGCCCGAGCTTACAGACCTTGATGATCTTGAGCACATCCTCCACTTCACATGGTGTGGTGCGGGTATGGCCATGGTAAACTTGCAGTTTGCCGTCCGCGTGCCAGATATCGACTAGGTGCGGCATGAAACAGGCAAATAAAATAACACATGGAAAGACAGTGTAAGCCTGGCACGTTTGCGCTTCAAGGACTCGAGCAACAACCGACAAAGGGTTAAAAATCATTTGGTAAAGCATCAAACTCACTTTCAAGGCTGCGTGCGCCCATGTCTAGAGCGTTTTTGACGGCGTCTGGTGTGCACACACCTTGAATCTGCATTGAAAGGGGAAGCAGAGAGGACAGCATGAATGTCTGCCGAAGTTTACCAGATTCTTTTACGCGATGGTCACGAACCTGACCACCAGCCAAGTAGCTGTTGTGAGACGCAGCAAAGTAGTAATGATGCAAGGGACTAGACCACTTGATTGGCGTGGCAACTTCGTGGGAAACAACATGTTCGTGTTGCTGCAGAAACTCTGTAAAGCCGTCAAGCCCAAAGCGATGCTGCCAAGATGGCCCAATACGATCGGCAACGAGCAGGTGAGGGATGCGCGTGACGGGTCGCACTCCAAGGTCGACTACTGTGATGTAGTCACATGCAGCGGTAGGACTGGGGCATTTGCTACCTCATGGCGGTTGGCTTCGATGGGCTCGTGCTGAGCAATGAGCTGCTCTGCCTCTGAGAGTGAATTCAGCAACACCTGAACAGACCATACAGAGCGTTAGTTGGAAGCTCGACAGGGTATGCAGGCGCCGCCGGTGAGAGGTGCTGCCTGCAAGTCAAGGCGAGCGTACATGTTGCTCGAGTTCAAGAAACAGACGCAGACTGGAAGCTTCGATGATTTGACCGTCCTTGGCATATTTTTGCAGCAGCATAAAGACCTCACGCCGAGTTTTTAGACGCTACCCAGTTTGGATGAGAAGATGAGAAGATTTTATTTGTCAAAGGATGGCGTGGCAGGTGGACCGTTGGCTCAGAGAAATAGCAAGTGAACAGTCCAAGATGATTGGCGACAGAGACTTACAGTTACGAGGGCGAAAAACTGGTCAAAGGTGCAGCGGAATGAGTCATCGGCACCAAGGGGAAGAATTTCATCTGCGGGAGGCACGTCAAGAGCGTGGCCATTGGTATTCTCTGCTCCGTTGATCTTTGCTTCATCCTGCTTGCCATTTGCAGTGGAAGCCTCGTCACCATCTGCGACAGTCTGATCTTCGAAAACCACATCCGAAGGGGTGGCGGTGGGCGGGGTGGAGGCCGCAGCAGGCGTAATTGCGCCATCTTCGATAGCCGGTGAAGTCTCTGGCGTCTATGGGGTGCCAACATTATATATGAGCTGTGCGTGCGGACATGAGCAACTGGCCAAGGCGATGGGCTTACGCCTGGAATGCTGGGTCGAGGAGACAAGGGTTGTCCTGAGTTGAGGCGCTGCTCAAGATCCAGGCGCTCAAAAAGATTCTATACCAAGCGAACGAAAAAAAAAAGGGGTGGGGTGGGGCCCAAACGACTGTCAGTGAGCCGAACCCTGGCTTAAAAGAGGTCGTGTCGTTGTAAATGGAAACGAGGCCTTGAGCACGACGACCAACGTTAACAAAGACTTCAAGATGCTCGCTATCGATGTTGTTGAGCAGAGCCTTGGTGGCCTCAAGGGTCTCAGCTTTGGAAAGTTGGCCATCGCTGTCAGTATCTGTTGTCGTTGTTGCGTTGTTGGCGGAAAAACACGGGGAGAATGTGGGAGGTGTGAGAAAGGGAAGGGGTTCTCGGCTGGGCAACGATGGCGGGCCCAGGACTTGAACTACATACCAAACTGGTCAAAGGTCTGCTTGATCCATTGTCGGCGCATGCTTTGCTGCTTTGTGGATGCATCTGAGCGGTGTATAAGAAGGCGGAGGCCCGTCACCCAGAGGTCACGGCAATCCAGAGATGGGGCCACCAAATCTAGCGTGCCACCCTTATGATAGGCGGTGAAACAGCGCCATTCTTCGAACTCTGCTCACGAGAAGCAACCGCAACCATTGACCAAAACGAGCCTGTGAGCACGGTCGGGAAAAAAGGGTGGGGACATGTGTAAGGACTGGGGTGATGTCTCATACCAGCCGCTTCAGGTGTATTAAAGCCAGCAGCGCCTTTTCCTGGATGAATCTTGGTGAAATCACGAATTGGGACTGCAAAGCAGGCGCAAAGTCAGATAAAAAAAAGTTGAGCAGAGCGAAGACGGGGTGAGAAAAGGGGTGTGCGAGGGTAGGTGCGCGATCGGGAGGAGGCAGAACTTCACTACGTACTCGATCGCGTGGCGTTGTTCTTCTTGGAAAACCAGGTAACTTGCTCACGCTGGACACACCAAAGGGTGAGGAAAGGTCGGGGGAGACATGCTTGAGGGTGGTCGTCATGGCTGGTAGAGAGCATAAAGCAAACCTCAGGTTCGAAGAAGATGTATCGTTCGTAAAGCTTGTGGCCGCGTACTTTTAGCATGACTGAGCCGCGGAAGAGCTCCTGAATCACATCAGCCACTGCACACGGGCGCGTTGACAGGGGGTGGCGGGTGAGTGACGTGCGAGCGTATGGAAAAGCCCATGCTTGGAGGGGTGGCATAGCAGAGTGGGTTAGTCAAAGAGGGTCTGACCTTCATTGAGACGAGGCAGGTCATCACGACTAAACTCGCGCGCGTCCACGGTAAACTTGACCGACTTCTTGTATGATGAGCGCTGAGAGGACGGAGCTGAGCTAGAGGTGCTCTTTAGAATGGGTCGATCCGTGCGCATGGGCGGGGGCACCGCTGGCACAAACTCGGCGTGCTCGTAGGACGCCATGGTCCCGGGCACACGCTCGCCCTATCAAAGAAAGCAGGATGTTTCGCAGGGGGCTAAGGGCAAGTTTGAGAGGGGTTGGGTCGAGCGGAAAGGGGGTGGTCTGTATTTGTAAACGCACGTCCAATGTTCTCGGTCCGCAGGTGGCCCGGAATAGCACCTGTAGTGCTATTCTTCAGGGCGGGTCTGGTGGCTTGATGATATGTCAAGCGATCGGCTGGGACTTTGTAGTTGGACGACGGCAATCGAAGTGGTTCCAGCCGAGGAACTGGGCTGTCGTCAGCTCGCGCACGCGCCACAGGTTGGCGCGGCTACGCGATTCACCCGACACCCCTCAAATCTACAGCACCACCACCACCATCATTATCCTCGAGTAAGCAAAGTGGGGGCACACAAGGACCTCGCGCCTCAAACGCTTTTTTTTTTTTTTTTGTGCAAATAGATGGCATTCACAAGAATCGTCGGGCGTTGCAGTGCACGCAGGAAAGGCGGAGACCGTCGGCGGCGGGGAGGTGGGTGCGTCATTAGCGCGCGTCATCGTCGCACGTACCTCTGACATGGATCAAATGGGAGGGCAGAAGCGGGGATTAGGGGGAAAGGGGCGGGGCATGGGGGAGAAGATGTAGATCAACATGTGGTAGTTGAAGGTTTTGGTGGAAGATAAAGGGGGTTAGGGTGGAAGTTAAGCGTGAGATATTGTTGCTGATATATGGGTTATTGTACTTGGAGTGAAAGGGTGTTTGTCGTCGCGTGTCCTTTGTCGTGGTTAATGCTGCAGTGGCTGGCCCGGTTCTTGAAGGAGGACAAGCAGGTTATTGAAGATTTTATTGGATATAAAGGGCACTTGACTTTAGAACACTGGGAAGTTTATGAAGATGGTTGTGCTGATGTGGTTTGTCATGTTGCTCATGCTTACCTAGTGATGGTGACAGAATAGCCAAGCTTCATAGACCTCTTCAAAATAAAATGACGCGCTCGATATGTCAGAAAATGAACCTGGTGTTGATAACACGTGTTGTTGCCATTCGACAACCCCTTCCCTTATCAACCACAACCATCATCATCCATCAACAACGAGAGAGAGAGAGAGAGAAACAGAGAAGAGAGAATTCTCGGAAGAGGGCCGCTCTTTTGAACAGCAAAGGCGGGGCGGTCGATGCTCCTGGGCACGCAATTGCCCGTTTCTGTTTCTTTCCCAGCTTGGGGTACAGGGGCTGTTGAGCTGCCAAGCAGATTGACTTGCGTAGATTGAGCTTTTGGGGATCTGCGCAGGCATACGTCTGCCAGTTCGCTTGCTCGCACAACAACCCAACACCCCTGCGCTACTCCAACCGCGAGCATGGGGTGCGGATCATCCACTGCGGTGGTGGTGCGCGATACGTTGCCAGCGCCAGATGCGCGCAAGACCAACAAGAAGCGCCGCCGCAACATGAAGGCGCCGCACGGCCACCTGCTGAACACGCTCGATGAGACCATCGAGACGGCCAAGGCGTGGCGTGAGTACGCCACGCAACGCCGCCAGCACTTTGCTGATTGGCATGCTTGGCTCGGCGATGAAACGGAAAATCCAAATGAACACCGCCTCCGAAAGGCCTGCCAAGCACGCATTGCCGAAGCCGAAGACCAATCGGCTCATGACGTTGACATGCTCTCGTACGCCTCAGCGCCCGCCCCGTCCTGGCCAAGACAAGGGCCACCTTCCGCAACGCACCTCAATGCTCATTTCCGCCCACTTGATCATTGTACATAATGTAGTCATTACAATGCCCAAGTTGCCAACCTCCAAGAAGTCCTCAAGGTATCACCACACGTTTCTTCCTTTCCTCCTTTCCTCCTTTCCTTGCTTCTGCGAGCTCTTTTCGACTCGCCTTTCGCCCATTGATGCCCCGACGCGCGCGCGCGCGCGCTCTTGGCTGATCGCGCCTTAGGTGCTGAAGGAGCACGATCGTCTGGTGACTGATCTACGCACCGCTCAGCAACGGCTGCATGACGCCCGAGAACATCACCAAGCAGCCGTGCGCAATCACGAAAAGGTACCGCCGCCCAATTCTGCCCTTTGCCTGACAAAACCTGCCTGTCGTGCCGCTCCACCTGGTTGGCCAAGCGCAGGCATGCACGATGACCCAACTGTTGTGCCGGTTGCCCGCAGGCCAAACTCAAGGCCAACTATCAGACGCTCAAACCCAAGATTGAACACGATCTGATGGATTTGCATGCACAAGTCGGGGCCTGCGAGCGCCAAGTTGAGGCCGCCGAGCGCACCGTCGAAAAGTCCGTCGTCAGTACACGTGAGCGCAAGCAGATGCTTGTGGCCAAATCGTTGCTCTATACACATGCTGTACGTGGTGCCCGGTTTTGTTTTAAAGCTGGTGGCCCGGCACACGCCCACCGTACTTTGATCATCGCCACATTCGCATTCCGTCCTATCCCAATAGAGCATGATTGATTATCACCAGCGCAGCATTGAGACCCTGCGCAAGTACAACGAACAGATTCACATACTCTGCCAGCCTGAAAAGGGTACGTCAGCCCCCAAGACGCTGGCCTCACGTTTGAATCGAAAACGCCAATCCTGCGATTGTGTGCTCATGGCTCATAATGCATCACAGGATCGTTTGCGCGCACCTCCGTCACCGCACCTGCGATAGCGCCGTTTGTACCGGATCAATCCGAGGACTCTCAGGGCCCCCCTTTGTCCTTGCCTCCTGCCACACAGCAATCCATTGCGGCGCTGGAAGCCCCGCCAGCAATGGCCCCGTCCACGCTCAACACGACCGCCTCGCCCGCCCTGCCAAGCAGTACGCCAGTCGCCGTTACATCGGCAAGTGGGACCCCACAAGCGGCCTCTTCGAGCCCCGCAATTTCCAGCCCGGAATCTGCTCCTCTCGCGCTACAAGGGCCTGCTACCACACCAGCCGCAGCAGAGACCTCGAGCCCGCCCGTGCGGGAGGAAGTGCAGGCCAACACCACGACCACCTTGGCGATCGTCCCTAGCACCGACCGGCCTGACCATGAAGCGCGGGAACGGCGCATACTACCTCCTATCCAACGACCTTTGCAAGACGCGGCTGACGAGCTCGAATAGGCCAGCTCGGGGCCCGCCCCAGATGATTATAATACAGTGGACGGCATGTCAAAATCAACTATTCAATTTGTCATTCACGCGTGTAAGATGCATTCCTATCATGTTTGTCGTTCGTGTCCACTTTGGCACACCAAGGGGGCCAGACATTGTCGCTGTTCCCGGCACCACAGCTGAGAACAACGGGCAAGCAAGTCGCTCATGGTCTGCCCGCAACCTAAATGATCAAGGCAGGAAGACATGATTGCCATCCCAATCAACTCCCATCCCAGCCCAGTTGAGTCTGTTGGTGTCGTGCTGTGCTCATGCCGTGCTGCTGCGTCTTGTTGACGAGCGTCCATTCCTCGCTCAAAAGCAGCATTGGCAGTCGAAGGGACAGTCCGGTGTGCCTAAAAGAGGTCAAGGTTCACGGTGCAGACAGACCCGCAGTGAGCCATACATAGGGAAGCTTGAAACACACGTCGCTTTTCGTTTTGTTTTGTCACCAGGAGGTGCGCCCACGCACCACCGCTATCAGCACGGATACCCAGCTCATCGTAGGTATACACGCGCAGTCCGTCGACCATTTTGCGCTCTAAACACCACCGGCCACCGTAAGTCTTTTCAGCACCACACCAAAACCATTGGTGTCGGTATACCAAGCAAGGACTGGAAGGGCTTTGCGTACTGGTTTTGCGGTTGCCCCGTGCGTCACGGAACTCATCATCATCATCATCATCATCATCGCTCACTTGAGCTTGAGGGCCAGCGGCCACAGAGGCAGCCGATTTCTTTTTATTCGCACCGCCTTGGGACGCCTTGCCTCCCTCAGCTCCAGCCTTGGCCCCCTTTCCTGACAGAGGCTGTGGCATATGCTTGGCTTGCTTCGTAGCCGGGGGACCGCTCTTGTCAGCCTGGAAGAGCAGCAAACGATTCCCATCACATTAGCGGTCAGCGGCGCGATAAACACAAGTCCACGTGGTGCATGCCTTTGAGGCGTGCCACGGGCCGAACACCGGACCTGTGGCGCCGATTGCAATGTGCTAAAGATATCATCCAGCTCGCTTGCTTGCTTTTTCTTCTTCTTTGCTTCGCCCTCGGCTGCCGCGGGCACAGCCGCCGGTGTAGCTGCCGCCGGCTTGGCCGCCTTGCCCTTGTTCTTTCCCATGTCGAGTCGTGTCGTTCTTTTTTTTCCAAAAAAAAAAAATAAAAAAAAAATGAAGGAAGGTTTCTTGTTTTCAAACACAAAAACATGTAAAAACAAGAAAAACGATTTTCAAGGCGCCGGCTGAACTTTGGGCCACATGGTGGATGTATTCAAGGGGACTGTGATGAGCGGCGTGTGCCGGTTAAGAAGCCGGCTTGAAGCATCGAACTGCAAATGAAGAAAAAGACAGCCGGATGAATGAATTGCTTGGTCCAGGATGACTCTCTCACACTCAACTCTTCATCTGATGGTATTCTACGAATTCCGACATCATGTCGCTGGGTTTGAGCTTTCCAACAGCGTCAGGAGTGCGCGCAGCGCTTCCTGTTCGGTCGGTGCCGTCACATGTCCGTCAACTAGAGCAGAAACACAAACGCGCAGCAACAGGAGATGCACGGCTGTCCGGCCATTGCAGCGCAGGCGAATCCATCTATGCGTAGTAGGGAAAGTCACATTGAGGGAGGGGGGGTTACGTGACTTGAGGCTAAAGGCAAGGAATCCGTAGTGCAAAGCACCATTCAACAGGCAAGACAAGACGACACTTACTGGTCGAGGGTCAGCAGGCCACCAAGTGCATTCACGTCCACCCGGCGAGCAGCAACCACCAGCTGCCAGGGCTCCACGCTGGTGCATTCGGTGGCAAAGCACTTGGTTGTTTCCAGGCGATTGCGGTAGAGGAGCCAGCGCGAGGAAGCGGGGTGAGCTCGCAGGCAACTGCCAGGATGGATTGTGCCTGCTACCCCGCGGTGGAACGTGAGGTTCCAACCCCGAGCATCGGCTGCTGATACCTCGCGACGTGCCACCTGCGGCCACAGTGCTCGGCACAGCGCAACACGCAGTAAGGCGGGCGGTGCACGCTCGGGTGGCGGGGGCCGCGCGTCAGACGCGGTGCCAGACATTTCTGCATTGCGATACGTCTTGTAAAGATCGTCGCGGATACTGCTCGCCTGCAGCAGGCGATGTCGTTGCAGGCAGTTGCTCAAAAGCATTGCCTTTTGTTTTGCCTTTGGTGTTCGGCACCAAGCCACAAATGCATGCAGCTCCAGCATGAGGTCACTTCGAGCGTCCTCTTCGAATTTTAGCCGGCAGCTTTTGAGCTTGTCCCGTTGATCCAAGGGGGCCGCGAAAATATCCTCTGCACTCGCCAAGGCGGCCAACGTCAGGGCCGCAGGAAATACGCCCAATGCGTGTGCCTCGAGTAAAAGTTTGGCAATATGGACGTCCAGCGGCAGCCGGCTCAGGCGATGACCGAGCGGTGTGAGTGACCAGTGACTGGAGAAGCGCACGGCATCTTCCTGTACTGCGTCAATGTCGAACAAGTGCCGCAGCGCCTCTTCCACAGCAGCCGGGGCCGGGGCATCAAGAGCTTTGGCCAGCAGCTCTGCTGGCTGATGGCTTGTGGTAGATAGGACATGAAGACAGAGCTCCTCGAGAGGCACGCGTTGAATTTCAGGCCTTGTATACGCTGATAGCTCCCGGTATTCACTTTGTGTATACAAGCGGTAGCAGTGCCCCGCACGAACACGCCCCGCACGGCCGGCACGCTGCTTGGCGCTGGCGCGCGACACACGTGTCAGCGCCAACTGTGACATGCGCGAATGCCCCTTGTACCGCAGCTCCTTCACCAGGCCAGTGTCGATCACGACCGTGACATCTGGGATTGTCACGCCTGTAGCAGAAGAGGTCCATGAGATGAAGGGCAAACGCACCCAACAGCAACAAAAAAAATGACAAAAGGGACGAAAAGGACACAAAGGACGAAAAGGACACACACACACACACACACACACACACACACACACACACACACACACACACACACACACACACACACACACACACACACACACACACACACACACACACACACACACACACACACACACACACACACACACACACACACACACACACACACACACACACACACACACACACACACACACACACACACACACAAAGAGTTTCAGGCAGGGCAAGTGGCAGTACGGTGTCTGGGTCGTACCTGTCTCAGCAATGTTTGTGGAAAGCACCACTTTGACGGCATCGGGGAAATGTACAAAGGCTTTCTGCTGCTCACTCGAACTGAGAGCGCTGTGCAAGGGTACAATCTCAAGCTATCGCCATTGCAGTCAGAATAAGAAGGGAGGATGTCGGACAAAGACACCCATAAATCGAGAAGAGCCAGTGCACGACAATGAATCAAAAGCGAACCACTTTCCACCCCAATCGCACCTGGCGTTTGACTGCTAGCGCCGAAGCCTGTAGCTGTTCGTACACAAGTTGAATCTCTTTGAGGCCGGGGAGAAAGACTAAAATGGCACCGCCGTCGACCTTGTCATGCTAGAAGAAGCACCCAAAGTCACAAATGTACAGGCCAGTGTCAGTGCTTGTCAAAGTCAATCGATGGGCCGTCAATGCTCGTGGGGCTGTACACACGCAGGCGTACCTCATGCGTGGCGAGGTGCACGATCAAGGTCTCGATCAGTTCTGGGTTGACGACGTTGGTGCGCAAGACGTCGATGGTCTCTTGCGTCATCGCTGAATAGCGCTCAGGATCGAGGTTGACACGGTCGGCAGCCTCGTCTCCCGTTTCTTGAAGCCACTCTTCCTGATGCAACTCACGCGCGCCATTTTCACCCTTGACAGCAACAGTGGCTGTTCGCCAGATTCGGCGCTCAATGTAATAGTCAGATTCAGGGTCACATTCGTAGCCCGTGGTCTCGACAATGTCCTCAACAAAATGTTCGGCGACGGGAAAGGTCCGGCCTTGCACGTTGATAACAGGCACGGCCAATGGGGCAAAATAGGCTGCAAAGCGCTCGGCATCCAGCGTGGCGCTCATGAGGACCACCTTCAGATCGGGACGGATGGGCAGCAATGCCTTGAGCATGACGAGCAAGAAGTCCGACTGTACAGTGCGCTCGTGAATCTCGTCGATGAGCAACACCGCCACGTGGCGCAAGTTGGGGTCCCCCTGCAACATGCGCAAAACAATGCCGGTGGTGCAGTACACCAGGCGGGTACTTGGGGCCACACAGCGGTCGGTGCGCACGTGATAGCCACAGAGGCTGCCAGAAACGCCAACATCACGATCACCGAGCTCAGCGCTGACGCGCTTGGCAATGGACACGGCCGAGATGCGGCGGGGTTGGGTGCAAAGGATCATGCCAGGCCCAGCAGATTCCAAAAGAGTTTGTAATACAAATTGTGGTACTTGAGTGGATCTGAGAGATGTTGGGGTGAGGGGTGCGTTCGTGTGTCAAAAGGCGACGCATTGCTGGGGCATAAAACGAGACTGTGCACGCAGGATGAGAACGCACTTGCCACTGCCGGTTTCACCGGCCACAATGGTCACGCGCTCGGTTGCAATGATGCGAGCAATTTCTTCCTGGCGAGCATGTACTGGCAAAGACTGGCGCGCCGGTAAGAGCTTCCTGTGGATGGTTGGGTAGCCACACGATTCGTAAACCAAAGAGGATAACGTGGAGGTGCAAAGAGGCCCATTACGCAGGCGGTGGAACGCGTACCTGTACCCGGGCCGAGCCGTGATTGAATCCCAACTGGGTGAGTTCCGGCTCTTCTGGTGAAGTGTCGACGGCTGTTCTGATGAGACAGGGGTGGCAGCCGAGGCGTCCAGGGCATGCATGGTGTTAGAGGTCTTCAGAGTAGAGCTGGGTTGGGTCCAAGCGGGTGGCGTGGTCTGGACAAGATTGGCCACAAAGGCCTCGCGTCGGGCGTTGGCCTCACGCAGCTGTTCAAGCCTGACATTTCTTTGATTCTGCACCCACTCCAGCCAGAGGTCTCGGTATGCTCGGTGAAGCTGCTGGTAAGCGTTTGAGGTCGGGTCCAAGACGAAAAGCATGTGCAACGCTGCCAGGTGACGTGCCGTGGACCCATCTGGCGCATCCAATTGACTGACCACTTGGAGTTGATCCCCCTGAATGGGCAAGAGTGGTTCTGGCCAGCGGCCAAGGGCGACAGATGAGGCGGAAAAGTCGAGTTTCAGGTTGGTCCGACGCTGGGGCTGAAGTTGCAAGCAACAAGTCATCACATGACGCGCGCCTTGAGGGGCCACGGCTGCTTTCGTGAAGCGTGGGCGGCTGTCCTTGCTCAAGTGTTGCTTGGCAAATTGGATTAACAATTGCTCAGGATTTGCGCCTTGCCACTTTTGGACATTGGCATCAAAGCGGCGGTATGCAGGTTTGGCAGCAGGGGCCGGGGCTGCTGAGTTTGCTGCTGACCCATCAGCAGCGTCAACCAGCTCGTCCAGCAAGTCAAAATCAAGTGCACTCTGGTTGCTGCCAGCGCCATCACTGTCATTGCCGCTTTGGTCAGCGTCGGGTCGTACGTCATCACGTGCGCCTGCAGCAACTGGCCGTGGCGCTGTGGCCTCTGCGGGTGTTGGGTCTGACGAGAGGCCGGCACTGGGCTCGAGAACAGCCGGTACAAGGTTCGGATGCTCACGCTTGATTTTGCCGATCCGTTGGCCACAGCGCTTGGCCATCTCCGAATCTTTACGTTGCTTGGCATCGGCAGCATCGCGCAGCAGCTCAGCAAGCTCCAGAGCCAATGCTTCCAGGTCAACATGGGTGTGCCGCACAACGGCCTTGGCTTGTCCATGCCCTAGAAGCTCGTCTTGATCCAGGTCATCGCTCTCGGAGCCACTGGATTCGGCCTCCATGCGGGCCAGGATCCAAGCCTTAGTGTCAAACTTTTTCTTTTTTGTCGCTTTTACCGCTTTGGTCGTGTCGGCCTGTGGCTTTTGGGGGCGCAGACTAGGCACCGATGGCTGCTTCATGGGCTCCTCAGGGGGCGTGGTGTGGGGTGGTTCAGTGGCAGCCTCTGCGTTCAATTTGGCCTGGTGCTGAGCTGCCTCGCGTTCCTGCCAGCGGCGTGCCTCGGTTTGGTGCGTACTCAAGAGGTCAGCAGGAAGGCGGCGCCAGTCTGGCGTCAGTAGGAGGGCCCGAACCAGGAGGCTCGCATTGGCGGTGGGCACAGCTCGGAGGGTTGCCTCGACATCCTCGATATCAAAGCCCAGGGCCACAAGATCATCATAGGCTTGTCGCAGGCCACGAGCAAATGAGTCCTCCGTCAGACCAAGGGTAGATGGGAGCTCCATTTGCAGTGCCTGCTGCAAGTGCTGCGCCAAGTTGCTGAGGGTAGTAGGGGGCAGCTGGTCTATCAGGGCCATGAGGGCGGCTGGGGGCTGGGTGCCCGCTGAGCTGATGCCTGTCTGCGCCGGCAATAAATGGCGGGCGGCGTCTGCTTGCGCGGTGGACTGAGTGGCCTGGATGAGCTGAGAGATGAAGTGATTTTCATTCCAGTGTGGCAAGACGCGCATCAAAAGGGCTTCCAAGGCTGCCTCTTGGCTGGCAGAGAGCAAAAGCACATCATCGGACGGAAGTTGCTCAAAGCGCAGCTGAGGACTAGGGGCATCCAGGGCTTTTGTCCAATCATCAGCCGCGGGCGGCGCCGCCGTGTCTTCGCCATCTGTGGGCGCGGTGTCGACTTGCAGCTCAGCAACAACCGAAGCAGCGCGAGCTGCTGCGGGTTCTTCGATCGTGGTGTCTGTGGCTGTGCCCGCTTGAGCTAATTCATCGGGCTTTGTCGGCGCCGGATCCGGGGTCGATTTTGGCTCTGACACCGGCGCCGGTGCAGGCGCCGTACTACTGGTCGCATAGCCACGCACATCAACCGCACGCCCTTTCTTCTTCCGTCCCATCGTCCCGGTCACGGTCAGGCGCGAGCTAAACTCATCAAGCGCGCAAAATGGTGCACACACGGAAGAGCGCTTTGAACACAACACGACACTACACACACACTCAAAAGCAGAGCAGACATCGATGTCAGACAAACCAGTTTTCTGACAATCTAACTTGAAAGCTACCAAGTGTCATACCCCCCGAGGTCTTGGCTGAACACTTTTCCTTTTGTTTCATTCACCCACTGAACAAGACAAAGAACACAAGGTGGCGCAAAAGAGTGTGTTGTGTGTTGTTGCTTGCCAGTGTGCTTTTGCTTGTGGTACGTCTGGCTGTCTCGATGAATGATGTGGCAGCTCGTGACGGCAGCGGAATGGATGGGAAGGATGTGGCAGCCAGAGGGCCGAATGCACGAAATGTGCAGAGCCATGGCAACACATTCAGGGCGCATCTTGGGTCGCGGGCTGCGAGTTTGCATGGTCACCGACGACAAGATGCCTCACACAACGGGCATTGGCTCCTGAGCTACCTGCTCAACCTGGTCTCGTCTCACTTGTGCCCCCCCCCTGGATGGCCTGCGCGTGGTTGTAGCACCTTGGCGTCCACGTCCTCTTGGAGCCCGTGACAAGCTAGCTTTCTGTGTCGTTTCTTTTCAACACCCCCGTCCATCACCATGTTTTTGACCCGCTCGGAATATGACCGGTACGACCACTGACTTGTTGTGACGTCGGCCTTTTCAAAAAGCACTGGCCCTCTCTGTCAGCCTCAAGGTTGACGGTACAAGGGCATGTCATCTTGTTTCTGCGCTATCTGGGATGAACTCTCGTGTCCTGCTCATGGAGCCTGTGACGTGGTCGCAATGGTACTGTGGTTGCTCACTTGGCTGGGTCATGCTCCCCATCCATTCTTTTCAGTGGTGTCAACACCTTCTCTCCGGAGGGTCGTATCTTCCAGGTTGAGTATGCCATCGAGGCCATCAAGGTGCGTCGTCTTATCAAGCCGCCATTGTTCCATACGCGGCTTCTGAGCGGCCGGTATGGCCGTGTCAGGTGAACCGCGGTGGCGCCACCTCATTGCGTCGGTCTGCTTCCCTCCCCTCCCACCTCTGTGGGCTCCTCGCAGCTGGGCTCAACAGCCATTGGTATTCAGACAAAGGAAGGCGTGATTATTGCGGTTGAAAAGCGCATCACCTCTCCTCTCATGGACCCTTCTAGCATTGAAAAGATTGTGGAGATTGACTCCCATATTGCCTGCGCCATGTCCGGTCTGACGGCCGATGCGCGAACCCTGATTGAGCGCGCCCGCGTTGAAGCACAGAACTATTGGTTCACATACAACGAGCCCATGAGCGTCGAATCTGTCACGCAGGCCGTCTGTAACCTGGCCATGCAGTTTGGCGAGGGCGAGGATGCCGAGTCAGGCTCCATGGTGCGTTGCTTGTCAAGAGTGTCCAAATCACCTGCGCGAGTGGCTTTGGTCACCTCGCTCCTACACGGTCCTCAGTGTTGAACTTTAGCATCTGCTACTAATGCTCATGTTGGTGACCGCCACTTGCACTTACCTCCCTGTTCTTCCTGTGGATAGAGTCGCCCTTTTGGCGTGGCGCTGCTGTTTGCTGGCGTGGACACAGAAGGCACCGATAAGCGCCCGGTTCTGTATCACGCCGACCCCAGCGGCACGTTTATTCGCTTTGACGCCAAGGCTATTGGATCAGGCTCGCAGGGCGCACAGTCAACGCTGCAGGAAAAGTACGATGCAACAATGTCCTTTGCAGATGCCGAGACACTGGCCCTCTCTACGCTCAAGCAGGTTATGGAAGAGGTCATCACCTCCAAGAACGTGGAGGTGGCCGCCGTCAAGGCGGATAAGCCCTTTCATCTGTATAGCAAGGAGGAGGTTGAGGCCATTTTGCAGCGCCTCGAGGAGTAAGCCACGACGGCCTGGCAGACCAAGGAAATTCGAGACTGGCCATCAATTGGGTTTACCCGCCTGTCCCAAATGGGGCCGTGGTCTCAGCGGACGCCATTGCCTGCGTCTTTGTGGTGTGTAAACGTGTGCATCTTGATCTTTTGTGCATTGTTGTTGTGTGAACTTGCCGGTGCGATGCAAGGGCGGCTCGTTGAATTGACACAAAACCCGTTTTGTTGACCCCTTGTCGACACCCGTCACGTCAAACGAAATCAATTGCATGTAAAGCAAAGTCACACGAGCGTCTTAGATGGGCCCATGCATAGCCTCGCCGGGTGGGCTTAAAAGGTCGAGGCATTGTGTTGGCATTCTTCGGGGATCTCAAAGATGTAGCTGGGGGGCATGGTCGCGTTGAACTGAGTGAAGAAATAACGGGCAAAGTCAGAAGAAGACTCACGCTCCAGGACGACAGGGGTGTTGGGAGCACCAGCCGCCACACCAAGCATGACACGAGCACCGCCCACGCGGTACTCCCAGGCATCGAGCGTAAGCTCGTGGTGGGTGACGACACCGGCGTAGGTGGCGTCCTTGACCCAGGCAAAGAGGGGCTCCAGAGGGTCGGGGCGCTCACGAACGTGGCAATCGCGAGCGTCCTCGGAAGAGATTTCATAATCCTTGTGAATGTCAGCGCGTTCGAGCGCAAGGACATGAAAGTTGTGGTACTCGCGGGGGTGGAGGTCATAGCGTTCGACGGCGCGTTGGCCGGCCTGATCATGGCCCATAAAGCCCTCGCCAAAGATGGCCTTGTTCTCGCGATCGCGGGACTCAAGGTCGAAGATGGCCGTAAAGGTCTCGGTGATGTCCGGGCGCTGGGGGGTGGCGCCAAGGTTGAGCCTCTTGTGGCACTCCTCAGGGACGTCAAAGATCTTTGACTCGGGGCGAGTGGCGTTGAACTCGGCAAAGTAGTAGCGGGTCAGCTCCGAGCCAGACTCGCGCTCAAAGATGACGGGTGTGTTGGTGTTGTTGGGGCTGACACCAAGGAGGAGACGGACACCAGCCGTGCGCAACTGCCAGCCCTGGAGGGTGACCCCACGGTGCGTAACCTCGCCAATGTAGGAGGCATGCTCCACCCAGGCGAAGGGGGCTTCTAGGCGATCGCTGATATCGCGCTCGTGGCAATCGTGCATGTCCTCGGAGTCAATCTGGTACTCGCGGTGGAGATCGGCGCGCTGCAACATGAAGACGTGGAGAACGCGGTGAACGCCAGAGGAGGAGTTCAGGTCAAGATCATAACGCTCGGCTGCCTTTTGGGCCTCGACATCGCTGGCCAGGAAGCCGCGACCAAACACCAGACCCTCGCGATCGTGGCGCTCGACTATACGCGCGATTCAATTCCACGCAGCACCAGGCGGGTCAGAAGCCCAGCGATCTCTGACGCTGGCGCCGCCGATTCGAGGAATGATCATACACGCAAGCACAAGCCTGCAGTGGCAGCCGGCAGAACTCACCATCAATGACGGCGAGAAAATCCTCGGAGATCTTGGGGCGCTCTTGTGCGAAAGCGACGGCAGCCAACACGGCCATTGCCACAGCCAACTTGTACATGGTGGAAGGTCGACGATCAGCGTCACTGTAAATTCAATAAGCGGCACGAGATCACGGGTGTGAGAGATCCCCAGCCGTCAATCAACCACAGCTACCACATCAACTCACCACCGCAAAGTCGTCGGGCAGGAAAAAAAATGCCACATCGAGCCAGTAGCAAGAGGCACAACACAGTGCCAGTGCGCAAGGGGGGAGAAGCACAACGTCCATAGTTGATTCCAATACCGCCCATCTTAAGGAACACACAGAGAGAAAGAGAGATCACACACTCTAACATCAACAAAAAGTTTCGGTGACATCACCAAAAAAAATCGAAACACCACAGATCACATCATCTTCGCTTTTTTTATTTGAGAGAGATGGCTTTTTTGGAGCGTAAACATTCTCGTTCCCAATTTCCCAGGCTTGAAGGCAAGCATAGCGGATCGGTGCCATCTGTGAATTGTTTACTCTCTTTCTCTCACTCACCTCTCTGTTTATCTCCTCATGTTGGTCACCAGGCAAACGCACAAAAACTAGAGGTCAAAGAGAAAGAGTTTTGCTACTGCTAGATTCAAACAGAGAGGTGGTTCGAGATTGTGGGCTCAGCTGGACAGAGTGGCGGTTCAAAACAACGCACACAGGTTATCAAAAAAAACTCATGTGGGCCTTGTCCCTGCGAGGTCCAGTCCAAATGCCTGGCAACTTGGTCGTGGGGTCAAAACAAATCAAACAACACAGAATACTATGCATTGAAAAGATGTCTGGGGATATTACGCCGTGGTGCTCGACTTGTTCGAGTCTGATTTGGAGCTGAGCGAGGACTGTTGTTTGAGCGTCCCGCGGTCCCGAGCCGGGCTGTTGGACATTCGCGAGTTTTTGCGCTTGCTCATAGCACTCAAAGGCAAAGGTGGCAGCAGGTCTACGGAAGAGCCAAAATCCAAGTTATCCAAGCACAAAAGCAACTGAGGGCGTTCCGCGTGCCTAAACACATACCGGACAATCCAGTGCTGAGAGCTTCTGAGCGTGGGGTGGCACCGAAACGATCCTTGCGTTCGGGATCCGCACCACGGTCCAGGAGGAAGCGAGCCACTTGGCCGTGTCCTATCGTACAGCCCGCGCCGTGTGAGATCCCTGCCCTGGTCCACGTGTCAATGTGGTTGACTGCCTGCCTATCGCGTTGGGTGCGCCAAGACGCAGTTCGTCGCAAAACGCGCACCTTCCGCCATGGCCAGGTGAAGAGCCGTGCGGCCGTCATAATCAGCAAAGTTGACATCGAGGTTCTGCTTGTCCACCAATTCTTGGACCTGTTATGCCAAGCGCAGGTCAGTGGGTGACAAGCGTATCCACAGGGTGGCCCGGCCCCCTCAGAGCAAACCACGAAACCACGACCAGACAAACCGTTTCAATGTTGCCAGTGGCAGCAGCGTGGATCAAGAACTGTGCACCAGGAACGCCCGGGTCGCTGCGCAGTTGCCTTTCCAAGGCATTCTGTGGAGAGCCAGCATCCACGCCCAGACCATTGGGAGGTTTGCTACTAGAATAACCAGCCATGCGGTTGTGGCGCACCTTGGCCCGTTCAACGGCGTTGCCGAACAGATGCAGCTGAGGAAAACGCTCCACGAGCTTCTTGGCAATCCACAATCCACGAACGGTATTACCGTGCTTGTCCAAGCGCGGTGACCAGATGCCAATGCCAAACTTGCCCGGCACTGACATCATCAGCGCTCCCGACACGCCGCTCTGCACATCGGTCGCCATGCAGATGACAGACTTTGAGCAGGAGAAGAGGCGGGCCAGGCGAAAAGCAAGTGGTAGGGATGGCCAGTGGCATGGAGCTGTCTTGCCACGGACACGGTGAGGATGGGCCACTCACCTTGGCGGGAATGCCGACTTCGAAGGCAAAGCGCCCCGAATAATCGTACATGCCACAGCTGAACATAATTTGCATCGTGTCCTTGGCATGGACTGGTTGAATCACCTGGTCACGAGTCACAGGGCAGGTGCCACCAGAGGCATATGTGGCAGCCACCGTGGCCATACCTGCACAGCGAAAGCAAAAAGGGGGAGCACCCGTGGTAATGCGTCATTACAGCCAAAGGCAAATGCAGAATAAGAAACTGGCTCCATGTGAGGACAGCTGCAAAGACGGGCTTGGTGCCCTTGCCCGACTGCCACGCGCAAGGAACAGGGTATCATCCGACCTTTGCAGTTGATGGTGAGGGCACATGCGGAAAAGTAGAGTTCCAGAGTCCGCTCAATCGAGACGGTCTTGAGAAAGTCGCTGCGCTCGCGCATAAAGTAGCTCAGGCTGTCGCCACAAGCATCCCCCCCAAAACAAGACAATACCAATGGCTGTGAGTTGGCGGCATAGGTGCTCAAACGAGCGATGGGGGGACACAACGGTTCGAAGAGAGCACTCTGGTCTTATCCGTACGCAAAGTTGCGGGAGGCCGTGTTGAGCTCTGAGAGGAAAACGCTGTTGTCAAATTGGACCGGAGACACGAGGCCCGCGCAGCGCTCAGCAAATGTCTTGACGGCTTTGAAGCTGTCCACTTGTGTTGGGACTTCTGACCGAATAATGGCTGATGACATGATGGCCTGAGGCGCAAGCCAGAGAGAAGGGGCGGGGAGTCAAGGCAAGCGCGAGCGTGGATGTGGACGAATGAGCAAGGGTTGGGAGAGGACATACGCCAGCATTGATCAAGGGATTGTGTGGGTTGCCATCCTCATCCAGCACGAATCTACACGGGTGATGTGGTGCCGTGAGGTATTGTGGGCGTGAGCGGTTAGGCGCCAAGAATAAGGATGGGGTGCACGAAAGGGAAACGCCTGGGAAAGGCCAAGCAACGAACGACTCACGCGTTAAATCGCTGGCCAGAGGGCTCACAGCCAATGTGTTTGTGGACCTCACCCTCGCCGACCTGGGGGCCAAGTGGCGATCATGAGCGTTTAGGTGGGCACGCAGACGGCGCAAAGGGGTGAAAAAAAGGGTTGGGTGGGGGAGGACAGGCAAATGGTACCAGATTGATGGCCACGTTGTAGAGAAGGGGCTTGATGGTGGATTGAAATGTGTAGGGGATGTCTGTGTCTCCAATGTGCCAAATTTCACCGTTGCACGAGCAAACAGCAATGCCAAAAAGCTAAAATTGCGCATTTGCAAAAGAATTGACGGCAAGATGAGGTGATGCGGTGATGGCAAGGCGAGGTCAAGGCGGGCATTTTCAACGACGCAATCGTACGTCTGAGTTCACGCTTGCCAGTTCCGGAATGTCTGTACCAGGCGTCATGGCATGGCCATACACACCGACCGACAACAGGGAGCGAGTGAGCGAGTGCGCGAGTGCGCGAAAGAAAGAAGAAAGGGTCTCAAGATGCAAAAGGCAGGGGGCAGGTGCAGGCCGTTGGAACCAGCGTACAATCTGCATTGTTGCCATCATGGATGGCAGCGGCTTCGGGATACAGCTCTTCGAGCGCCTTGCACACTTCTTGGAAGCTCATGATTGCAGTGAACTGAGCCACCCGTCCTCAATCAGGACACGATCTAGAGGCGCAGGTGCCGGGGCCGTGAATGGCATATTTGACCGCACAGGTACGTCGGGTGGGGGCTGAGGTTGATTGGTCTCTGCCCACGATACGTCCAAAGCTTCGGACTTACCCTCAGCTGGGGCAGCTCGTAACACGACACGTCTGCCTTTTGGTGGGCACAACCAATCTGCGCTACTGCCGTGTGCCTGTGTTATATGTGACCGAAGAACACACAGACCCAGATAGCCGGACAAGTACACACGCAGAACCAACACGCATTAAAAGCCCGACTCCACGTCCTGCATTTCCCCCATGCCTTCCTCCTTGAGCCGAACGCACCCACTGCCGTTTTGAATCTTACCTCACTTGTCGTTTCGTTCCACAAAAAAAAAAGCAAAAAAAAAAAAAAAAAAGAGAAAGAAGCAAAATGTCGTCCGAACAAAAGAAAATGCAACTCGAGACAGTGTTGTCATCCATTTGAAAAAAAACACTTCGACAACGACATCATGTGCTGTCTGTCTGTCTCTCTCCCTACTGGGCGAGGTGGGCTGGATGGTTGTTGATGCACGCTGGTAGTCCATTGCCTTTCGTTGGCGCTGCCGTTTATGGCACTCTGTAACACGCTTGTGCAGGTTTCCATGCGGCGGCACATCTCCACCTCAACCCATCAGCCAGCCAGCCAGTCTTCCTCGTGCTGTGTGTGATTTTTGGCTGAATGAATGTTGATGTTTGGAACCATCATCAACAACAGCATGCACATGCACATGCACATGCACCATACACACATCTATCTGATCGAAATGCCCACACGTTGAAACATCACACACACACACACACGCACACACACACACACACACACACACACACACACACACACACACACACACACACACACACACACACACACACACACACACACACACACACACACACACACACACACACACACACACACACACACACACACACACACACACACACACACACACACACACACACACACTGACCGGGTGGCAAGGGTTGATAGGTTACCACAGTTGGTAGCTGCTTGGCTAAGAACGAGAACAACGAAAATGTCAGATTGTATACTTTTTTCATTTTCATTTTATTTTGCGTGGATGTGTTTTATTTTATTGAATGTTGATCAAAGATGGCGACGGAGACCGAGGCGGTGCAGGTCGAGGTGGTTCGGCCCGAGGGGTTGATGGTGGTGACCTTGAATCGGGAACGCAAGCGTAACGCGCTCAATGATGCCATGTACAAGCGTCTTACGGCACTGCTGCGCCAGGCCGATCGGACAGCCGATATTCATGCCGTCGTGCTCACGGGGCGGGGCACTCACTTTTGCGCGGGTCAGGACTTGACGGCCGTTGACCCGGTGCAACGCGCGCAGAGCCGCTCCCGGGATCTACCTGTTGGGCACTTCATGGACGCCCTGATACAGTTTCAAAAGCTCTTGGTGGCGGCAGTCAATGGCCCTGCCATCGGCATTGGTGCTACGCTTCTGGCGCACTGTGATCTTGTGATCGCCCACCCCAGCGCCAGTGTCAGCACCCCGTTTGCCGCCCTCGGCGTCGTTCCCGAGCTGGGCTCAAGCTATACTTTCCCGCGACGCCTCGGTATCGAGGCTAGCACCCGCCTGCTTCTTCTTGGTGAAACCCTCTCAGCACAGGAATGCTACCAGCGGGGTCTCTATAGCCACGTCCTCGAGCCCGTGGACAACGATACCGCACCACCACAGGCTTCCAACCAGGCCGCGACAGACGTACTCAACGCCACCCTGGCACTCTTACGCCGAGGCGCCGCTCGTGATGCCCACCAAGGGGGCTCCTGGCTGCTTTACCGCGCCATGTTGCTTCCCCCTGCAGAGCGCGCCCACCGTGCTCGGGCCGTCGCCACTGAACTGGACCACATTGACAAACGCTTTCGGACCGGCGACATGCAAGCCATTTTGCATCGCCTACAGGCCCGCCTGCTTCCTAGCAAGCTGTAGAGGCCCATCACAGCAGACACTATGAGCGTCCATCCTGTGTGACCCCTAAAAGAGAGCTCTAATCGATTCAGCACGCCGTGTGTTTTGGTACCCCATTCGCGTGGCTGGCCCAACTAGGCCTGTTCACCCTCCTCGATCTGCCACCCAATTAACAACAACCTCGTGCATTCAGCCAATTCAAACGGCGGCTGGTCGAGAGCCAATCAACCAGGGGAATCAAAATAAGCCAGTCAGAAGGTCCCTTGCGCGTCTCTACAACGACTGACATCAGACTCCCTGCCTGCCTGCCTGCCTGCCTGCCTGCCTGCCTATTCACCTGATAGCTGACCTGTCTATCACTCTGTCTGCCATCTTGCCGGTCTGTCAAACCAGTCCAGCAGCCCAACACCATCGATCCCCATATCACACAGTCTCTCCACTCGTCCATATGTACGTACATCCGATGTACATCCATGGATGTCTCTCCTTCAGTCCTCATTGTCTCATTGTCAGACGTTTCTGTGTGTGTGTGTGTGTGTGTGTGTGTGTGTGTGTGTGTGTGTGTGTGTGTGTGTGGTTTTGTTTTTTGGCTTGATCTTTGCGGCCAACGTTGACGTGCGCATTTGAAAAGGGGGTGTTGCTGCTGACCTCGGGCTTCATTCAACCTCCTCGGGCTCAAACCTCCTCGGGCTGAACTTGAGGGTTGACTTTGGGTGGCCAGCGTGTTTGGTTCTTGGAGGTGGGATAGGGCTCTTGCTGGCGCCAGGCCTGGGCTAGAAATGCGACAAAAGACCAGGACGCTGCAGTTGTCTTGAGGTGGGGAGACTGCCAGTATGGCCCAGCTGGCCTGGGCTGTTGCCTTGGTTGCACTCAGCATCAGCTGGACAGGTGCAGGCGCCGACTGCCCACAGCTCGTGCCTCGCTTTCCCTCGGCCAACTGCCCAAGTTTCAGTGAGGGGGCACTTTGCCCTTTGTTTTGTAGCAGAACCAACCCTCACAGCACTCGTAATGGCACCGCCCTTTGCCACGAGGGCAAGTGGTATTCGTCCCTTGACTGTGGCATCTGTGATTTTTGCCCCGACTACTGTCCAGACCCCGGAGTTGTTGAACTCAGCGAAAAGCACCGCAACCTCATTCCCCTCGGTAACCCTTGCCGGGATCTCAATTCTCTCCCCGAGGGCTTGCCGCTCCACGTTCAAGACATTACGATCAACAACCTCAACCTCCGCCTCGAGCAAGGCATCGCCATGAACCTGACTGAGCTCACGCAATTTTCCCTCTCCTCCTTCACCACCTCCGGCCGGGCTTACACCCTGGCCGATGACTTTTTTGCCGGCGACGACAAGCTCATCGATATCGCAATCAACAGCGTCCTCTTGGGTCGTCTGCCCTATTTTGACGTTCCCAGTCTTGAGGTCATGCAGCTGGCCGAACTTACTCTGGTCAACCTCAATGGCTTTGGCACCTTCAACGTCACCCTGGCCAACTCCCGGTGGCCCAAGGTACGCTCGACCAATGAGCCCCCATTGACCCCCTGTGACTCAATCTCAACGCACCCGCTTGGTCCATCGCCTCGGCTTACTTCCGACCCTCTTGTGCCTGATGTCAAACATTGGTGGGGTCAATCTTGCAGCTGAAAACCCTTACCATCTCTGACCTCGGCTTTCAAGGCAGAATTATCGGCCACATGGAGCAGGCTTGGCCCCAACTCGAGGTCATGCAAGTCAGCGCGTTGGCTTTGTCGGAGATGCAGGCCTTCAACTGGTCCCGCCTCCCCAACCTAAAAGAGCTGAGCATGTACTTCCTCAACGGCCCTTTTTTGCTCGATTCGGAGTTCTTGCCTCAATCTGCCGATCTACTGAGCTTAAATCTGGCCTTTTACAACACCTCTTCCATGTGGTTTGTGTCCATGCGAGCCCTCTATCCCATCTTGGATTTTCACAGCCTTGGCTTTCGCGGCAAAGAAGCCACCATGGGCGCCATTGTCCTCAGCGACCGTGTCAACTGCATCTCAAATGCCCACGGCTACAGCTACGACATTGTTTGCAACTGCTCCGGAAATGAGTGGTTGGATGCAAATAACGAATCCATTTCCGACTACAAGCTTGCCTCACACTGCCCACAGGCCAATGCCATGGCTTGCGAGCCAGAGTGGGACGACATCATTCCCTGCATGAGCCCGGAGGAGCGTGCCGCGTGGGGAGGCGAGTTCATCTTTCCAACCCAAGTCTGTGATGGCGTCCCCGATTGCACCAACGGCCGCGACGAAGGTGGTTGCCAAGCTTTGACTGATATTTATTCGGATATTCCGCCCAACTTGGGTAACACCTACATCCCATGCACTCGCAATCTTACCGTCACCTTTTCAAAGGGCACGGCCTACGCTTCCTCACCCCTCCCCGACTGCTACACCGGCCGTGGCATCGTGTTGGACTGGCGGCGTTTTGAGTTTAGCCTGGGCTACCTGTCATATCGCGGATACTACGTCCCCAGCATTCAAGCCTTTCAAGGCCAAGGCATTTTGCGCCGCAATGGTCGAGGTGATGTGGTCAACGGCATGAGCTTTCAGCACGTGCTGGGTGTCGTCGAGGGTGGCCTTCTCGACGCGCGTAGCCTCACCCGCCCTCAAACCTCTCCCGACATCTGGCAAACACCCACGTTTGACTATTATTTTGACACCTCTGTGTGTAATTTATCCAGCACCCTTGCTCGGGACGTGGCCTCTACCACCACGGGCCTGCCTGAGCTAACAGAGCGTCCGCCAGCTGTCTTGAGCAGCCGCAAGTCCGACCCTACTGTTCTGGCCGCCGCGGTGGCCGGAGGTGCCGGGTGCCTGGCCCTGGTTGCTTTTGTGATAGTTTTGATGCGTCGGCGATCTGGCCAACGCCATGCCGTCTTAGCCCTGCATTCGTCGTATCGAACCGCCATGGACCGGGCCATTGCCATATTTTGCGAGGCTCATCCTGCGCTCAACTTTGTGGCTTTGCATGAACTCTCGTGGTGCGTTGCGTCTGTTTCCTCTTGTCAATCATGCTACTTTGCGTGTGTGTCTGTGTGAGTGTCTGTGTCTGTGTCTGTGTTGGCATCGATTTTATGCAAGAGCTTGCATGGCACACAAGGTTTATTGGGCTGGATATGCTCTTAGGCATCAGATGGAGGTGATTGAGGTCGTCGGCTCCGGTAATTTTGGCCGAGTGCTCAAGGTAGACTCGCGCGCAACAACGCAATGCTTTTTCGACGAATTGGCCTGTCGGCGCTGCCAGCCCATCATGTACTGAGGATTCTCACTGAGGCTTGCATGCGCATGTGCAGGCCAAGCTTTTTGAGGACGAGAGCCGCAAGCTGACCTCTTTGGTGGCCGTCAAGGAACCTGTGGACTTGATGCTCAACGAGGTTTGACCTCCGTGTGTCACTTTACATGCTTGACAAAAGCCTTTGCGCAGGGCGTTGTGTGTGTTCACCTTGGTAGCGCTGTGCTCTCTGTTTTGCTGCAGGTGGACGCACTCTCGGACTTTTTAAAAGAGGCCATGGTATTGCAGGCGATTGCTAGCCATCCCAACGTTGTTGGACTCCACGGCGTGTGCCTGCCCAAGTGAGTTGACTTGCCTTTTATCCCAGTCTGACTCAAAATGGCGTTTCAACTTGACAAGCTCATGGCGTCCCATGTTGGCGGGTCACCCTCTAGCTCGACTGTGAACCGACACTGCGCTTTGGTCTGCGAGTATTGCGAGTTTGGGGAGCTCAAGGCTCTATTGGTGCAGCAGCACAGTGCACTTCAGTCCGTAGCGGTTCAACGCCGGGTGGCACTCCAGGTGCGCGTGCGACTGGGGAGCGAGTGCCTTTTCGTGGCCAGGCAGCTGTGTACTTACCAACTTGCACTCGCTAAAAACTCGTAGATGTGCTCTGCCATGGCATTTTTGGCGTCCAAAGGCATCATACATCGCGACTTGGCTGCCCGTAACGTGCTTGTTGCACGCCTGCAGCCTATTTCGATTCGTCTCGCCGACTTTGGCTGTACGTCTACACAATCGGCCGCTTCTCCTTTTCTCTTGTTCCCTCACTCGTCTCCTCCGCTCATTCTTTGCTCCTCGTGCGGCCAAACGTGGAACAGTGTCTCGTTTGGTATCCAAGGACGATTACTATCGCAGTCGCGGCAAGGACGGTCTGCCCTTCAGGTATGGGTATATGTGGTGGAGATGCAATCACAAAGACGCATTTGATGCTCTGTCGCTTCACATGCATCATGGCCTTTGCCCTGATGTCATAGATGGATGGCCCCAGAGGCAATTCGAGAGCTCCGGTTTTCCCAGGCATCTGATGTGTGGTACGTGCATGTCGCCTCCCGAATCTCAAAAAAGACTTGCCGCCATATCACGCCTTTCGTTTGAGCTTCCGTCCTTTGACGACTCGTGCTCGGCAGGTCATTGGGCGTGGTGGTGTGGGAAGTGCTGCATCATGGACAAACGCCCTATGGTAGCTTGGATGGACATCACATTGTTCAGCTGCTGCTCCAAGGTGAGGACCGCGTTGTTGATGCTTAAAACATATGCCAGAGCACCACTGAACCGACGCCCGCTTGATCTGCAACGTTTGGAATTGTGGATGGGACATGATTAGGGAGCACGCTGAGTATGGAGCCTGGCGTGGATCCCTTGTTGTCCGAGTTTTGCTTCTGGTGCTGGCAGCGCGCGGCCAGCGCGCGGCCTTCCTTTGCTGACCTCAAAGACCAGCTCGAGGCAGGCTACATCCCACCGGCGCCCCGACCACTTGCCAGCAAGCCGACCCTGACTCTGGCGAGTGAAACGGTGCTTCCCTTGGGGCACACTGTTAACCCCCAGCGCCATGACAGCCTCTCCTCGTCGTCGTCGGTGAACACTGCTTTGACTGCCCTGCCTTCTTCTGGAAACTTTCGCCCTCAGGTGAGCGCAGCAACACTCCTTTTGGCCAGTCTAATAAGACCCAAGGTAACCAACCACTTACAGAGACGAAACTTTTCGGTCTTTTTTAGATTCAGATGGCCTGGGATGAGCATGAGACTTCACTATGATTTGACCCACGCCATTATCCCCACCCACGTAATTGAACGTTCTGATCGACCATTCCCCTGACCGGCTTTTCCGACCAAGACACGAGCATGTGTGTGTTACCGATATTTTTGTCAGATTGTCATCATTTTACTTACATTTGAGGGCTTGCATATTTGAGCCACCAAACCTTGAAAGCTATGGCGGTGACGGCGGTGATGGCGGACATGGTTGAGATCCGCGCACTGGATGCCGATCCCCCACCGTATGGTTGTTGGCAGGCAGGGAAAACCTCGAAGGAGAGGAGGGGGGGGGGGGTGATGTGAAAGGTACCTTCTCAGTGGTAGTGTGTGATACATGGATGTGTGTTGTGGTTTGTGTGGGCTCGTTTGCCAAACGTGAAGCGCACGAGCGAGCGAGCGGCTCGCCTGACCGGCCACAAGTACAACTGCATTTTGTTTGATTCGGGTAATTGACGCACGCGTCCACCCCGGCCGCTGACCGCGCGCCCGCTTTGCCGCCATTACGCACGAATGCGGTCACCCACGGCTGTTCATAGCGCCGTTTTGCCCCCCTTGTCCTTCGCTTCCTTGCGCAGGTGCTTACAGCTGTCTCGACTGTGACGACCAGCGTCATGATGCAGACCCTGCGTGACCGCTTGTCACGAACCCGCCGCTCAGACCAGCGCAAGTCGGTGGGTTCCGTCAGCATCACAAGCTTTTCGGCGTCGGAGCTCCAGCTCTTTGAAGCCTTGCAAGTGGATCTAGCCGATTGGATCAACCGTAAGAGAGCGAGTAGCTACCTGTGCCTCACCGTGATAGCGCACTGCCGCGCGCTAGACCCCGATCAGCCCTCACCACACCCGCCGCCCTGCCACGCCACGCCGAATCATTCACTGTTGCAGGACACCTGGTTGTAACCTTGCGTTCTCGAGACCTGTTTGAACAACTTCGTGCGTGCCTCGTTTGCCTGCAGACGCATGTGCCTGCCTCTCTTTGCAGCGAGTGCATTCACCTTCTCATTTGTGCAATTCTGAACATGCTCCGGGACAACAGAGACGGGCGTCATCTTGATTCGCTTGGCCCGCATAGTGGACACGGAGCAGACCAGATTCTGCCAGGAACAGGGTCGACCCTGGAAAGCCTCACGACTGAAATGCAACTCCAAGGCAACCAAGGACAGCTTTTTTGCCCGAGATAACGTCCTCGGCTTTTTGGCGTATGCCAGCAAGTTTATGGACAAGCAGCAGCTCTTCGACTGTGAAGATCTTCTGGGACGGCAGAACAAGGAAGCCGTCTTCAACTGGTAAGGGCCTGCTCTAGCCAGCGGGCAAGCAACCAATAGCGCCTTGGCGCCAACCTCCATCCTCACGGCCATCGTGGGCGCTAGCATCCACATGTTGTTGCGCAACCAGCAGGGCATGTTGCCGACCCGACTCCTGGAGGTGGAGGCAGCCGCCAATGGTTTGAGTGACACGCCCCTGACGGAGCTTGTGGCCGATGAAACCATCATGCTCGCCGCGCTGCGCAGCGCCCTGGCCAACGCCCAGGGAGATCCTCAAGCCCTCCGCATCGAGCGCCCAGGTTGGGCCCGAGCCCAAGCATATGCCGCGCCCTCTGCTGCCCAGCGTATCTCACCGGTGCCCCTGTCATCCTTGAACAGGATACTACGTGCTGCGGGACGGGGACAAAGCGGTCTGCTGCCACTTGGTGGATGGCGTCGTCCTAGTCAAAACTGACAAACACCAATGGAAATCAGTTCTGCAGTATCTTGAAACTCCAGCTCAACACCGTCCCCACTTGATGGTGCGAATTCTGGCTGCTCGCATCGTCTCGACTGCTCTCCAACATGGGTTGACTCATTCATCATGTCAAAGCACGTCTACTCACGAAAAACACGGGCCACATGGACTGTATGGTGCAAACGCAGTCACAAAAGCGAACCTCGCTGCCGGCCAACCCATCGCCCCCAACCACGCCTGGTCGAGCGCCTCGCAAGTCCACCCATACTGTGGCAAATTTCATTCATGCTTTCAATGACCTGGCCAAACAATCCTCGCAAGATCAGTTGCTGTCACGTGCTGGATCCCGCGAGCACCTCAACCCTTCCCCCCGCATCGTGGGACCTCCCGTGCCACCCAAGCCTCAATCACCAGCCCCTCCTTCCACGTGCGCGCCCGTGCCTCCACCGCGTGTGCGCAGTGACAGCAAGCCACGTCCACGCCCCCAGAGCAGCGATGAGGAGGAGGAAGGAGACGAGGATGACATTCTTGACTTTGACCCCCTGGCTGAGTTTGATGGCCCACACGACGACTCTGATGTTGAGTATGGCCACTCGTCAGATCATGAACGAGCATCGCCGGTCATCCTCGCGCCCGTGGCCCAACAAGTGCCGATTGAAATGCCGACCATTGATCCGGCGGGTGCCTTGGCTGCAGCACGCCACGTTCCCAATCTTCGACCCGAGGAAATCGAGGCCCTGCATGACGTCGACACGGTACCACTCCCAGGCTCGCGCACAGGCTCGCAGCGCCTCGCAAGCAAGTCGCAACCAGCACAAGAAGAAGAGGAGGTGGCGGTAAAACCCGTGACCGCATCCGGCCCGACAGAACAACACCTTGAGGTCATGCTCCATCACGCTGAGCCACCCAAGCCGACAGAAGGGGAAGCACCGAACTTTGCTTCCCCTGCGTGGAGCCGGCGGACATCAGACTGTGGCCTGTCCGATGGCGCCGATAGCGTGCCCGAGTCTCGCCGCAAGCTGTCGACTGGCTCCATCGCCGAGCTGGGCAAGTCCTTGCCCGTACCCAAGAAGCTGCGGCAGGAAGCCATTCTTGAGGAGCAACACTCGGCAGCAACGACCACTCCACCAATCAAGGCCCGCATCCGCGCCCCAGCACCCGTGCCTCAGACTACTCCCACACCGAACCCTGCTGTGGCGCCTCACCCAGTCGAAAATAACCTTGCCTCTACTGCCGCCGCTTTGGCTCCCTTGGAGTCTGACCCCAGCAAAGCCATCCAAGACTATTATGGCCCAGACGCCACGCTTGAGGCGCCTAGCAAGCCGGCCAAGCCCCTCAAGCCGCGCCTTGTGGGCCGCAACAGTCCGGCCTCTCCGCGCCTGACGACCGCGCCCGTGGAGCGAACCGAACCCGTGAGCATGATGCATTCCACCGAGTCTTCCATGCCAGTTATCAACAGACCCACACCTTGTCCACAGCCTGAACTCCAAACAGCGGCGCCCGCCGTCCACACCGAGGCTCTCCCTTCGAACGAGGCCCCATGCACCCGCACAGCACCGACACAGCTAAAATCCTCACAGGAAGTAAATGGCGCTGCCGAGTCCGTGGCCCCTACCCAGGCCCTTGAGGTGCCCAACGAGGTTGCACCCACGGCCGAGGAGTTGGTTACACAACTGACCCAAGAACGTGCTGCTCACGCTGACCAGCTGCGGGCTCTTCAGGATCAGCTCGCCCAGCTTCAAAACACGTGAGCAACCTCGGGCCGCTTTGTGATCCAGCGACGTGTGTGGGTACCCGCTAATTTCACTCACCACGTTGTTTCACCTTCTGGGGTGGGGGGCTTCTAGACGAGCAAGGGAGGCCGAAGAGGCTCGGGCACAGCGAGAGGCACAGCAGCGTCGCGAAGATGAGCTGGTCGACGTCAAAGAACGTAATCGTGCCACCATCGATTCCCTGGAGCATGAGCGGCAACGCCTGCTGACCCAGCTGCGCACGACCGAACAGAGCCTGGTCAGTCTGCCCGACAGCTGGTGACAGGCAGCGTGGTGCCCATGGTGATCGTTGCTTGATTAATGAAAATGGGTGTGAGCTTATTCATTCGACCTCTTAAATTGGTAGGAACAACTGCAGGGCGAGCGTTCGATCGAGTTTAAGACGCTTTCAAAGAACCACGAAGAAACCATGGCCACTGCGGTATGTGGACGTGCCATGACTGTTTTGCCCTCCGCCGCGGTTCCGCTATGCCCCTCAAACTCATTGACATTGGCGCTGCATATGTAGTTGGTTCGCGAGCAACAGCTCAAGGCCCAGCTTGCTGAGGCGCTGGCAAGTGTCGCGGCAGCCCAGGCTCATGCTGAGCAGTGCGAGATGGCTCTGGCCCTGGCAGAGCAACGCGTGAGCCAGGGCATGGCAGCACCATCGGACGGAACCACACGCCTCATGGTCCCAGGTTTTGGCCTGGTCCAGGTGGCTCTGCAAGTTGTGGCCCCTCTGGCCCCGGCAGCTACATCTTCCACCCAAGGAGTTGTGACGCCGGTGGGCTCTCGAGGGGAAGACGACGATAATGGTGAAGTCGATTGTTGAAGCAAAGACCAAGAGAGGCCTTTGGTGTGCTTTGATGTGCTGCACATGTATGTGTGTATATATGTGCGTACGCGAATGTTGAGGGTGGTCTTTGTCCGTAATCAATGGGCCTGGATTGGCAGGCGCCGCCTTGTATAAAACAATCAATCCCTCAGACTGTGTTATCGTGACGTTGGACATGACATTTTTGTTTCGCTTCATGTTGGCGGTGTTGGAGATGATAATATGATTGGCGAGCATGCCTTCTTGGTGCTCAGTGCCCAGTGGATGTATCGAAAGATCATGCAATTGAACAGCAAAGCCTCTCATCGCGGATGTTGTCACCATGACAGCAGCATGACAGGGTCAGCCAAAAAGTACCTCCGCTGCGAGCTCAGTAAGCGATTGCAAGGACAAAAAAAAAAAAAAATTGGCCAAACGGAGAATGGCCGTCAAGGGGCAGCAAAACAACAACAGAACAAATCGAAGAACCGGTTCATTTACACTTGGGAGAAGAGGTGAAAACAACGTGATCGCGCTCCATGTACCCCAGGATAAAGAGAGAAAGTCCGAGGATTGCCGCAAGAAACAACAAAAAAAACGACAAGCCACGAAAAAAGACGCCCCAAACAAGCCTGGACCACCGAAGCAACGCACGATCAACACACAGGAAGAAAACTTTCGAAAACAAAAGGAGGACGTAAAAAACCAGCAGCGACCACAGAGACCGGCTCGGCCAGGCCGAGAAAAAGACGCTAGGTAAAGAAAAAAGAAAAGAAAAAGACAAACCATGAACACCTGGAAAGGAGCCTCGAGCGCCTCAAGATTTGACTCGAGCATCTCCACGGCCCACAGGAAAGCGTACGTCAAAAAGTACGTCGGCCACCAAGGGTAACGGGAGAGCATCACACCACAACTGCTTTATACAACGCACAAAGATATAGAGCTCAGCGCACGGCGCATGGGCTGCTTTATGACATGTCTACAGCAATGACAAAAAAGCAAGGAGGAAGAGAAATGGTGCACACTCGCGTGAGTCAATCGATGCTCCCGCAGGTGGTAGCGAAAAAAAAAACCAAAAAAAAAAAAAAAAAAAACAAGATAAGATGGACACGTACAGCTAAAAGTTGACTCCTCCATGCGCCGATGAATAAAGTCCTCGTTAAATTTGTGGAACTGATTAAATTGCTCTATCAGAGCCGTGAAGTAGGGGATGACTGGTGAGGCAAGCAGCGGAGACCCAACACCGCTGGACGAATTGACGCGGGAGAAGAACATTTTTGACGTGACGGACTGACCTTGCAGTTTTTCAGCCAGCAGGCTGTTATATTCCTGAGCGAGCTGCTCTTCACGATCCTTGACGGCCTTTTCAATCATGCTCTCAACTTGCTCAAGGGTGAGCACGATGGGCGTGGGTTTTGGAACGGCCTTGGGTACGAGCCCAGCGGTGCTGTGTGAAGCGGCCGCGGAGGGGCTGCTCACGGGCGAGTGGGTGGAGGCACGGTAGGCGCGGCGGCGTAACTCGAGGGGCAAGTATGACGAGGCGGGTTGGGCCTGTGAACGCGGTTTGAACAAGGGCTCTTGGGGGGTGAACGTGTCTTCTTCGCCATCTGAATCGGTGTCGAGGTCATCGCTTTGGCGACGCTTGACGGGACCACGCTGCGCGCAGGCCATCTTGCTGGTTGGCGAGGTGGTGGCATGATAGCTCGCATCTAATCAAATCAAGCGGGGTGAGCCGTCATCACGTGAATGCAAGCACCTTGTTGACGCAGCTCCAGTGACCTGGTTCTTGTTTCTTTCCGATGCCCTTGCTCATGAAAAAAAGTTTTTTTTTTTTTTTTCCGAAAATGACGAAGCACGCACCAGGTGGGGTGAAGTATCGGCAGCGCTTGGATTGCGCCGAGCCAAAGTGCACCGGGACAGGACTATCCGTGGGCTGAGAAACACTGGTAATGGTCATGGCCATGACGGCGGTTTTGTGACAAAGACAAACGCGTGCTCGTCTTCAAAGCAGTGACTGGTTGACCAACGCCACGACACCCGCGTGTCAACGCGAGGAGCAACCGTCGGTTCGACAACGCTCGCCCTCCTTCCAAGTGTGTGTGCTCGAGTGCGGTCCAAACAAATGCACTTCCAACAACGACTAATAGCCAGCGCCACCCACAGGAAGCACGCGGCGACGCCCCGAAGCAACAACGTCGGCTATCGTTCCTCGGCGGTAATGAATGCGCTCGCTCTCCAACGCGCAACGACAGGTACAAGCCAAAAAGGAAAATACGACAGTGAACGTGCCCTGCTTTGCTTGCTGTCACTTGAAGGGTGAGAGAGGGAGGGTGAAAGGGAGAGCGAGGCAGAGAGAGAAGGCGGCCAGCTGAACACACAAAGGGAAAACGAGAGGGCTAAGAGGGAGAAGAGAGAGAAGAGAGAATAGACAGAGAGACAGAGGGAGCACTGTCAACCATGAGGTGGTTCCCAATGTGACGGCTCAAGTCCGTATTACTCATCAAACTGTACATATTGACACACTTTAGCATCGCCTCATGTTACATGTGCTATGTTTTCGTATGTGTATGAGTGTGATATATGGTACACTACAGCGTTGACGAGGTGATGTCAGCTTGTTCCAGATCGTCGGCTAGCAACAAAGTGCGGGCCAAATCACACTTTAAAGCGTTGTAGCAACAGCAGCAAAGTCACCGAGTTTTTAGTGTATCTATCATCACACTTACGGAACCGAGGGTAACACCAGTGACGGGGATTGTCGCCGTGGCTCTTTTGGCCTCCGTCACACACACAGATGCGCAGTTCTCTCTCTCTCTCTCTCTCCCTCTCTCACTTGCTCTCTCGCGCCCTCTCGAAGACGCTTGGAACAGGTGGCTCGACCTCTGCTGCTGGTGACTCTGGGCCTGCTATCGCTGCTGATTTGAGGTAGGTGGCGTGTGAAGCAGTCTGTTCTGGGTTTTAAACCCGACATGCGTTCTGCGTTTTTGCCGACTGACGCTGGCGCTTCTGGCTGAATGCATAGAGCCGCCCCCTCGAGACCTTGCTCGGTTCACCCCTTGCCACAACGCAACCATGAAGCTCTTTGACATCTCCATCTTTGACATGCGGGGCGACAAGCCCGTGATCTTGACCGAGGCTCGTGACCTCTCCTCGTTCAACTTTTTCCAGCGCTCCAGGTTTGAAGTTGCTGCGCGCGACCCCCTCGTGTGTTTCAGCACCCCGAATCGGAAACATAGCTCCGCCGCCGTCATCAGCAGCAGCGACCCTAGACCCTCGACGCGATGTGTGACTTCCTTTTGGCTCACGACCTCTTTGGCTGTTTCGTTGAAACCCTTTAGCGTCGAAGAGTACATGAATTTTTTCACCACCACCTTGGCTGAGCGCACCGATGAGGGTGTTCGCCAATCGGTCCAGGTATCGCTTGCGCCCATCGACCTGCGGGCGTCGACGACTGGTTGCAATGATCTTGATTCACAAGCGTTGCAAACCTCGTGCAGGAGAAGCAATACTTTTGCCACGTTCACAACCGCCAGGACAAGCTCTGCGGTGTTGTGATTGTGGATGAGGAATATCCGGCCCGCGTAGCCTTTAGCATCATCAGCAAAGCGCTTGAAGAGTTCAAGAGCAAGTATCCCGTTGCCAGCTGGACCAGCAATCCTCGGTACGATTCGGCCATCCCATCCCGTTGGCCCTCGACTCGATGACAGCCGATGCGGCCTGGTTTTGAAATGGCTCGCTGGTCCTCGCAACGTGACCAACACCACTGCAAACCATATTCGAATCAAGACACTCATCACCTCGAATGCTTGCGCAGGGACATGCCATTTCCGGAATTGGCCGAGATGCTGAAAAAGTACCAGGACCCGGCCCAGGCCGACTCGATGCTCAAGGTGCAGCAGGAGCTAGATGAGACCAAAGTTGTCCTGGTACGATTCAAGCAGCGTCCTCGGTGCAACCAAGTTGCACGCTCGTGGTTACATACGCCGGCCTTTGCATGCAGACGAGAGCGCCATGCTCTTGCTGCCGATCGACAAATGCTCACCCGACTGCTCGCTCCATGCAACAATGTTACGCGCAATGACAGCACAAGGCTATGGAATCGGTTCTCAAACGCGATGAGCACCTGGATGACCTCGTCGCCAAGAGCGACCAGCTCTCGTCAACCAGCAAGGTGTTTTACAAAAAGGCCAAGGCAGCCAACTCGTGCTGTGTGGTGGTGTAAACAGCCTCTGTAGGAGTCGTCAAGCACCAGTCTCAGATCGGCACTTGAAATGCGTGCTGGCTTGCCCGCCCTGCCTTCCTCCCTTTCCCTAATGGTTTTTCCCGCTTTTTTTTCTGTGGCGCCCGCGGCGCTCAATGCGTGTATTGTGTCTGCGTTCTCATCAAGTAGTTGAAGCGCTTTCATCTCTCGCCTGTACCCTTTCTTCTTTGCACTTTTTTCCCCCCTGCCTCTCCTTTTTCAGCCGTTCGGATTTCGTGGGAAAACGTCTCGGGGTTCAACTCAAATTGGAAAGGGAAGAAGAAGAAGAATAATAAAAAAGAAACAAAAAAAAATAAAGGAAACAGGGTTGATTGTCATTTGAATCAACCAACCAACAAACTAAAAGGCCGCCCTGATTGAGCTAGGTGATCAGGACGAAATATGAAGAAGGGCGTGTAACGGCAAAATTAGACAGAGGTTTGGTTCACTCCGACTTGACGTGAATGACCGACTTGATGGTATGGTCATCGGGCTTGACCATGTAGTCAAAGGCCTTGACAGAGTCATCAAAGTTGAAGTGATCGGTAATGATCGAGTCGAGGGGAATCTTGCCGCTACCCAGGAGAGCAATGGCCTGCGGGTAAACGTTGGCGTAGCGGAAGACACCTTGCACGCTCAGTTCCTTCACTTGCATGTCCCCGACGTCGAGCACTGGGTTGGTGGGAGGGCAGCCAATGAGCATGATGCGAGCACCATTGGCGGCATATTTGGTCGTGAGCTGGGCTGATTTGTGGTTGCCAGCACACTCAAAGATGACGTCGGCACCGCGGCCGTTGGTTGCCTCCAGGATGGCTTGTACGGGATCCACAGCACCAATGTGAACGCCAGTCACGCAGCCAGGCACAAGGCTCTCGGCTACCTGGCACTTGCGAGGATTGAGATCAATGACGTAAACATGCGAGGCGCCCGAGGCAAGGGCGGCCATGGTGGTGAGCATGCCAATGGGGCCAGCGCCGCTGACGACGGCCACGTCCCCAGGCCGGATGTGGGCCTTGGTGCACGAGTGCACACCGACGGCGAGGGGCTCCACCATGGCACCCCAGTCCAGGCTGACGTTGTCGGGGAGCTTGAAGGTGAAGGCCCCGGGATGAACGACCGAGGCGCGGAGGCAACCGTGGCCAGCGCCCCAGGAAGGGTCGTTTGTAAGGTTGGTGGCGTATGCCGGGGGTGGGGTGGCCCAGAAGCGCAGGCCACGGCAGAGATTGTACTGGCCGCGCAAGACGCTGGGGCTGTTGGGCAGGGGGACGCCAGGCTCCATGCAGACGCGGTCGCCGACCTTGAGGTGGGTCACATTCTCGCCGACCTGCGTCACGAGGCCTGAAGCCTCGTGGCCGAGGATCATGGGCTGCTTCAACTGAAAGGGCCCGAGGTCACCATGCTATGTTTTGATATGCCCGGGGGCAAGGAAGAGGCTGGATGAGTGGGGAGATGGCTCGTGGAGACGACAAGCACAGCCCAGATGGGGGGGGGGGGATAAATCGATTCGTGTTGCTGTGCAGATCTGGTGACGGTGCTCTGGGAATGTGCGGGTGTTGGACGAGGAACCAACCTCATAGTAATGGACATCCGAGCCGCAGATGCCGACGCTGTGAATGTCGATGCGAACGTCATCGGCCGTGAAGGGCTCGTCGACATCAATGTCTCGGAGACGAAGGACGTTCTTCTCCTCAAGCACCACAGCCCGAGTCATTTCGGTGCGCACCTGGGAGCCACGCTGGGCGGCCACTGCCAGTGCACGGCGGGATGATTGCAGCAATGCAGACATCATCTTGGCGGATGAGACCGACGAGCAAGCCAAGCCAAGCCAAGCAGATCCGACCAAAGGGCCAGTTGGAAATGCGACCCGACGCTGAATGAGAGAGAGAGAGAGAGAGAGAGAGAGAGAGAGAGAGAGAGAGAGACAGAGACAGAGACAGAGAGACAGAGAGAGAGAGAGAGAGACAGACAGACAGACAGACAGACAGAGAGAGAGAGAGAGAGAGAGAGACAGAGAGAGAGAGAGAGAGAGAGAGAGAGAGAGAGCGCGCGCTGGTGGCACGGGGACACACATGTTCACGTTGACTTTATGGTCCATTTATCACACTTATTGACTCATTGTTAATGTCATCAACGACGGTTTTTGTAGCAATATTGATAGTTGATGCACATCATTTTCACCGGGTCGAAAACATCATAAACCACAACAAAACACACACACACGACGTCGAGGAAGTCTTGTTTGGTGGTCCTTCAAACGGCATGCTGCTGAATCTCCAGCGTGTGAAGGGGACTGTGCACATCTCCTATCTCTCACACCTCGCTCACCAGGACCATGATGCCGTTTCAGGACGCCAGCGCACATACACGGCACACACACACCCAGACGCTGCCAGGGCACTGCCGTCTTGCTGCAATGCCGCCTGAGATTGCGACAGCGACATTATGACACTTGGTACCATGACAATCTATCTGACATTTAACAAGTGGCAGGTCTGACAAAACTCCTGACAAAACGGAAGAGAATGGTCACTGACTTCGAGCACAAACAGGTCGTTTTCAAAGGACACACAGATGAGAATCACTCACGCGAAGCCCAGGAGGACCCTGCCGACAGTACGTGCGGGGGCATGCGCAGGAGGGGAGGAATTTTGCTGCTTTGGGCAGGATACAGCTCTGTTCAAGGCCGGGGATGGGTGGCTCAAGACTCTGCTGCACGCGTGGGAGATCGGCAGCAGACAGGCCGAAGCTTTGGTTGGCTCACTTGCGGCTGCATGGATGGAGAGTAAGCCCACTTGACCATAAAAACGTTTGCTGCACAGTCTCCATCTGTGTTGGCACAACAACCTTCTGAGGCGGGGGGGATGGGGTTGCAAGATAAATCATGTAGGTCCCAAGCCTCAACGTCAAACCTCCTGGCTCGGCCCCTCTGTCCGTGTGCAGACACCCCTCAGCCCAACCAAGACAACCCCCGACGAATCAACAAGGCAGTCCAACCCCAACACCAAATCTACTGGCCCACTGAAGCTCTCCCTGAAGCTGAAGCTCTCTCTCTGAAGCTCTGAAGTCTCTCTAAAGCTGCAGCCCCCTCTCTCTCTCTGAAGCTCTCTGAAGGTCTTTCTGAGGAAGCTCTCTGAAGCGCCACCCCCTCCTTCCCCCCAGCCCTACCCAACACGCAACACACACACATGTACACACACACTGGCTTGTTAAACGATGATGGACGTGACATAATGTTGATGTATACACACACATGTTGATGTGTGCATGGGGGTAAAACAAAAGAATCTCTCTCTCTCTCTCTGAAGCTCTGAAGCTCTCTCCTCTCATCTCTCTCCTCTCACTCCTCTCATCTCTCTCCTCAGCTCTCTAAAGCTCTCTCTCATCTCTCTCATCTCCCTTTCTCTCTCTCTCTCTCATCTCATCTCTCTCTCTCTCTCTCTCATCTCATCTCATCTCGTCTCTCTCATCTCACCTCACAACGTGTGTCAAATCCATCAAAATCAAATCCATCATTTTGTCAACAACAAGCAAAACGTAAGGTTCGGGTGTTCGTCCCTGCCTGCCTGCCTGCCTGCCTGCCTGCCGCCGCCGCTGCTGCTGCTCCTCTGCACCCTGTTCTGTTCTTCTGGGCTGGTTGTCTCTGTCTCTCTGTGCTCATCAGTTGCCTCGAGACCCTTGGCACACGACGTAACACCCTCTTGCTTGGGATTTTGGGCTGTCTGTCTCACGCTCTGACCGCCGAATGCTGGTTGCCTTGGCTCCCGCGTACAGCTGCAGCACGCACGCACGCACCGACCCGGCAGGTGCCTGCCCAACACACCACGCCTGCCTGCCTGCCTGCCTGCCTGCTTGTCTGTCTGCCTTGAGACGTGGTGGCTGGGATCAGCTCAAAACGTGAAGCCGACTTTCCCTCAAGTGTGGTGGCTGAGCTTGAGGGTGCGCGCGACCCCGTAAGGCTTGACATTCTCAACCCGAGCCATGAGCACCATCAACGCCACCACCTATTCCAACAGCACCGCTGCCACCAATGCTGCCGCCGCCGCTGCTGGTGACATCTGCGATGACCCGCTTCTGCTTCATCTCCTCGTCCTCTATGGCGCCCTCATCTTTAGTACGCACCCCAGATCGCGCCCCTCGTACTCCTTTTGCCTCGAAAAGACCAGCCCTACTACCTTTCACCCCTTGCCTTTTTACCCCCCTACCCCCCTAACCCCCTCCCTCCTCTCTCCTATCTGCTACTCAGTCTTGCAGTCGGGATTTCTCATTCTTGAAGCCGGCTATGTCAGTCGCTTCGGTAAGTCTCGACCCACCGCTGCACCCACTTGCTCCCTTTGCACCGCGCTCAGTGCGCACACTCACCCCTAACCCCCTCCTCCTGTTGCTCGTGGAACATCCCCTCTGTTCCCCCCTCCCTAGGTCTAACTAATATCATTTTCAAGGTACTTGAAGATATAGGCCCCCAAAGCTGCTCTACAATCCTTGCTCGCGCCCTCCCTCCCCCTTGTTTGTTTTATGTCTCACACGGGTTTTTGTCCCAGAATGTTTACGACACCATGTTGAGCACGCTGGCTTTCTTCATCCTCGGCTGGGCTTTTTCCTTTGGGGGTGATGATGACGGCTCTGCGGGCTACATTGCTGGACACAAGTAAGCCGTCCCAATCTGCTCAATCTGCTCGGTACCAGGCCTGGCTACCCTTGGCGTCACTCGCGCTCACCCGACGATGCCGCATCCGCATCTATCGACAATCAGGGAATTTTTCTTGGGCCATGCAACGAGCTGCAGCCTGGCCAAATTCGTCTTCCATGCTGCCTTTGCTTGCACCGCCGTTACCATCATTAGTGGCGCCATGGCCGGACGCTGTACCTTCCTCACCTACACCGTCTACTCCCTCATCCTCTGTGGGTTCAGCTACCCCATCCTCGTGCATTGGACCTGGTCCTCCACCGCCTGGCTCGCCGAGGGCAACGGTGATGGCAACGGCTTTCGTGACTTTGCTGGCTCGGGGGTCGTCCACATGGTCAGCTTCCTTGCTCTTCGCCGCTCCTCCGCTGGGGTTTCTTGCTTTTCCTGGGCCCCTTTCAAGTGCCTTCCCCTCACCACCTCGCTTAGACTGGGGGCATTGCAGCTCTGCTAGGATGCATCATGATCGGCCCTCGCCTTTCTCGCATCATCGATGGCAAATTTGTCCACATTCCCGTGAGATCCAGACAGCCTTGCCACATACACATACATACCATGCACCCATGCGCACCCATGCCCACTCATGCTATCGCCCCCGGGCCCGCGTGTGACTACAAACGCCAATAGCCCCATTCCACCGCATTCATTGGCACGGGTACCATGATCATCTTTTTTGGCTTTCTCTTTTTCAATGGCGGCACGGCCATCGGCCTCGCCCACAATATTGGCGACAGTGTCAACGCAGTACCTTTGGCCATTACAAATACCAGTACGACGACTCCCGCACCTGGTTCCCACAGCTTCAGCCCCGGGTTATGCTCGAGTCAGGGGCTCAAAACAGTGCCTGGTCTGACTCGCCGACTTTTACCCATCTGCTCCATCCACCCCAACAGTTTTGGCAGGGGCTTCTGCGGGAGTTGCAGTTCTTCTCTTACATTTTCGTCGAACACACTACATTAGCCTCTTGTCCTTGACGAACGGTGCGACCTTCAGCCTTGTGGGGATCTTCAAAAGCGACACGCCTTCATAATGCGCCGCCACCGCTCGGCTCGCTGACTTTGCCTTGGATGCACTGGCAGGCATTCTCGCGGGTTGCGTTAGCAGCTGTGCTTCGGCTGGCTGGGTTGAACCTTGGGCTGCCTGCATCATTGGCATTGGCGGTGGCCTGACGTACGTTTTCAAATGTTTATTGCTAGGGTCACCACACAACCCCCACTTTGCTTCTTTCTCCTGTCAATTCTTCTGTGCTTATACAACGACATCTGACGGGACACTTTGCAGGTACTACGGCGCGAGTGGTTTGCTGGAGCGCTTTCGAATCGATGACGCACTCGAAGCCAGTGCCGTACATGCGGGGGCCGGGGCTTGGGGTCTCATTGCTGAGGCCATCTTTCATCAAGAGCTTGGCATCGCCTATGCTGGCGTACGTCTGCAGTCACCCAGCTTGAGCCCCCCCCTGCCAAGCATATTTCGCATCCATTGACCATTATTGCGGCCTCTTATAGGACGCCAACAGCTTTCGCCACCTCGGTTGGCAAATTCTGGGCATTGTGGTCATAGTTCTATGGATTGGCTTGGGCGTTGTCGTGTCGCTCGTCCCACTCTGGTGGTATGGGCTTCTGCGCATCAGTGCCCGTGCCGAGAAACTGGGTGCGTTACATACGGCTCGTCACGATCGCAGCGCCCTAAATAACACGCAGCAAAAGGCTCACCTCGTCAACGTGTCTTGCTTCTCAGGCATTGACTTGTTTCAGCATCATGAGATCAGCTGGGACTTGCAGACTCAGATGGTGATGGATGGTACGGCGTGGGTGAACTTCTCTCAGTGGACCAGATGTCAACGGGGGGACACTGCCGCCTCCCGAGCAAATTTGCTGACCCGTTTGGCTGACATTGACGCCAGTGACACGCCATTCTTTTCTAGATGCTGAGCGAAACCTACCCTCGCGGATCGTCAAGAACATGTATAGCGACGCCCATCCTTCCCGCGACCCAAGTCAAGCTGGTGACACTGGCAGCGCAGTACAGAGCCTCACCATGCCGACCTCATTGAGCCGAGTCCAGTCCCTTCGTCGGCGGGAGCGCGATTTCCGCACCGGTCTTCACGATCGCGACGGGCCGCCACCACCAAGCCCGCTGCATCACACAATCCTGGTGAATAATGACGACGCAAACCGTCGCACGCTACCCCGCGATTCAATGACCTCGGTGGTGGTCGCAACAGAGGCGATTGAGCCTCCACCCGAAGCTCAGCGGGAATCCGTGGGCAATGAATTCGACTTTTTTGACAGTGAGCGCATCACCTCAGCGTTGACCAGCGCCAACCCAAAACCCCTCTCAAGTGTGGACTCGATCTATTCGGGCAAAGGCAGCGTGATCAGTGAGTCTTGCCTTTAGACCGGGAGTGATGCACTGGCCTATTGGCACATCGACATGTCAAGGTTTCCATGCCTGCCGTGGTTGGCAGGCCGCTATGCAGATGCCACCCAGCGGCACAGATGAGACTGCGTCTGTTATGCGTTGACTTATAAATGAACACCATTATATACAGTTATATCGATTTTGCGCCCTAATTGAATCAGACATGAAGAAAGACAAGCATATGCAACCCAAGGCAGAGGGCTGATGCTCAAACATTCCGCGGTCACTCAAAAGCCCCTCAAACCCACGGGAGTTGCGCTGGCACCACGCGGGCGTCATCTTCGCTTGGTCCGCTTGACCCAGACAATTTCGGATACGTCGTCCATCCGCGGGCCGGGATTCATGAAGGCCAGACGCCGCAGCTCGCGGCTGACCCGCGCTTTTCCGGTGGGCCCTGCAGATTCCTTGGCCACTTGCTCCTGTTTCAGAGCCACACCAAGTGTCAGATCATCAAACTGGCATCATGGTAAAAGAGAAACACACTGCTAGCCTCGTGGCGACCAGGCTTGAATCAAGGCGACACATCTCGCCGTACCTTTGTTGATGAGGCTGACATTTGCTCATCGAGACGGTGATCCCTATCAAACAAGAGAAAGTCGAACTTCATGAATTGCTGCTTTCTGGCGGCCTCGGAACCAGGCATCTTTATTCAAAGCTCGCGGGATACCAAATCCGCGTTGGGCCGTACCGAATATAGTTTTGAAACACCGTATTCCCCTCGAGATTGCGCTTGGGTTCCCACGTATTGTTTGAGGAAGGATAACCCTGCCATTTGACCTCAAACTCCCACTGTTGGTCGTGGAACCAAGAGGCATGTTCAGTGAGGACAGCCTTAAAACGAAGTGCAGCCCCAACGTGGTGCATCTTCTTTGTTGGGGCACCAACCTCGCCTTTGCGCAGGCGCCAGTTTTCAATCCGCTCAACCATAAACATAGAAGGATCCGTCTCTATCAGAAACAAATGACAACGCCGACACATGACAATGTCCATGAGGCAAACCAGGGCCAAGATACTTGACTTGACGGGAAGTGTGAAAGTGTCACCCGAGCGGAAGTTCGCAAACAGGACGAACCACGCAAGGGCCGTTTGGAGGCAAAGGCCACGCGCGATGGCTCTGGTAACTCTGGGGAAGCTGGGGCAATCAACTCGTTGTGAAGTGACCTGGACGTCTTGGCACGTTTAGAAGCATGCTCCACTGGCCAACTCTCCAATAAATCGGGTAGTTGTTGCCGGCTGACAGCTGGCTGGGGACTGTTTTGAACGTGTGCACAGAGCCGCAGAACAGGAAGAAACGAGGAGTGGCAAAACGTGTGAGGCATACTTGCAAACTGGAACAATGGATGAGCAACACGAGAAATCCATGACAATGCATGTTGCTAGAGAAAGATGTGTTTGACTAGTAGATGGTCGACATGCATGCTTCTCACGTTGGCGTGACCGGGATTGTAGCACCATGACGATCCAGTGTCCGCTGACGCACAACATCGCCTCGTTTTGACTAACGATGAATGGGCAAGGCCATCGTCAGCAGACGAATGGCAGAGGGTGTAGCAGCCACAAAGTGCAGCCAGCACATCTCAAAAGCCATAACAAACTCCCATACCTTCTTCCAAACGTAGTAAAAGTCAATGCAATCTTTAGTTGTCTTGTTTGGAAACTGAGCAAGGCGCACAAAGATGAGTCACTCGCGCGTATCCTTCTGTCGATCAGGATCATGGACGACCTGTGGTGTGCGACAACACCACACAATTACAACCGGCCCAGTGGGTACACTTGCCCCGCTTGCAATTTTGTGAAAGTGCTTGCCATAGGTATCATAGTAGGCCTCAAAGCGATTGATGTCATCCGACGTCCACCAGTCTGCAACCCGAGAACGAATGGCGTGGCAGCACATGAGTGACCAGCAGTGGCACTTTGGTGAAGTAGGACAAAGTTGCGCTAACTATACCCAGGCCTCGACGATTCAGCTGTTGACGCGGCATGGCTTTAAGTAAACGTTTGGCTTTGGCTTGATCGTAATCCACGCTCATGAGGGTTTGCAACGCTTGTTCACCCGGAATGCCGTAACCAACAGGAATGGCACCAACGTCCCGTAACAGCGCATCAATGGCTGCAGGATTGAAAGGAGGCAATCAAGAACCAAGTTCATCCGGACCAAGGGAGTACGCCAACATACAAAGAGTAGAGCAGTGAATAAACTATTGACATACCCTCGTCGGTGCATCGCGTGTTGGGACGCCATATGCAGTCGGCTTGGTGATCGCCTACAGAGAGATTGTGTGAGTGAGTGAGTGAGTGAGTGAGTGAGTGAGTGAGTGAGTGTGTGTGTGTGAGAGAGTGATTGAGAGAGTGTGTGTGAGAGAGTGTGTGTGAGAGAGTGAGTGAGAGTGTGTGAGTGAGAGTGAGTGAGTGAGTGAGTGAGTGAGTGAGTGAGTGATTGAGAGAGTGTGTGTGAGAGAGTGATTGAGTGAGTGAGTGAGTGAGTGAGTGATTGAGAGAGTGTGTGTGAGAGAGTGATTGAGAGAGTGTGTGTGAGAGAGTGAGTGAGAGTGAGAGAGAGAGAGAGAGAGAGAGAGTGTGTGTGTGTGTGTGTGTGTGACAGTGAGTGAGTGACAGAGTGGGTGAGTGACAGTGAGTGAGTGAGTGAGTGAATGAGTGACAGAGTGGGTGGGTGAGTGAGTGTGTGAGCATGTGGCCCAAAGGTATGCCCAGAGCATGAAGAGCAGTTGTTGTCGATCATAATGAAGGCCGCAAGAGCTTGAACGATCAAGGCCCGACGCATACTTACACAGAGCCTCTCCAAGAGCAGGTAGGTCATGCGGCAGCAGAAAGTCATCCCATGGACAAATTGACTGATCTGCGAGGTATGGTTTGTCGGTGAGACTTGAAAGGAGACATTGCTTTGCCTTCATGTGAGAATTGCAGCTTAGTACTGACCTGTGGACTCGGCATCACTACTCGTGGCAGCTGGTGATTGGATAATGGATTGACAAACAAACAAATGGCGCAGCAGTACCATCAAAGACTGGTGAGGGCAAGCCAGGGTCAAGCAATGCAGTCCACTAAATTGCAATGCACACGTACCCAAGTCTTGAGTGGTGTTTGTGTTGGCGGGGATCCATCCTTTATCCAGATCATCTTCAGTGTCGACCACATCATTAGCACGTTGGACAGCCACCACAACACGAGATGCAAAGCTGTCTGTAGTAATGAAACATGCGTGCCAGTTGATTTCGCGATTGAGTGGTGGTCATGGATCATGGAGCCAGACATGAGACCAAATTTCAGCCAGTCCCACATTTCCGTGGTAAATGGACAAGACGGTTGATGGCATCACGGGTCTGACCTTGTGTTGACGGCGAGGCCGGGTTCAAAGTTGCAATCGTGGGAGATGACGATTGTGTGTGGATGGCGGTGTTATTCGGTCTACATGGGATATCCAGAGAGAAGGCGCTGTCATGAGGTGTATGATGCAGGCATTCGAGACGGTCCAAGGGTATGTTTGCAGCCTTGATGGGGGAGGGAAGCACAGGAGGTATACGTACGCTGAAAGAAGGAGTTGCTGGTGGGGCACCACTTCAACCTATCTCAGAGAAGTTGATGAGTGGTGGCAGGCTTGACATGGGATTCAGGGACTGGCACCCTCAGAGCCGCCCAGTATTTACACAACGCTCACATATGCAATGGGAGAAGATAGGCCACACTGATGCAAGCGGGATCTGACCAAAGCTGCAGCATCGACGGCAGAGAGGGGCGATGATGATTCGATGCTCTGATAACCGTGGTCGGGACGACTCCAACGGCAGTTGGCACAAGTGCATGCCTTGTGATGCATGCCCAACGGAACACCCCAAGAAGTCAGCGACCTGGTAGCCTCATGATGAGAGTTCTCCTCCATGATGGAGGCCAGGAGGGCTAGAAACAGTTGCGCGAGGACAACACCGGCTCTATGCAGGTGACGTCGGTCTGAGGGAGCACCACTGTTGATCTGTTTGAATTATGTCGCCCAAGACGAGACGCAGTTTGGTGAGAGAGACCAAGAGGCAAGACCAAATTACCACCACGTCGATCCAACGGGTGTCAAAAGAGAAGCAAACTGAGGCATGGCGTCGGGCAGTTGTACAAGGATGACAAGCCTCACCTCCAGATGCTAACGAAGGGGCGATGCTGCGCCCTAGCTGGCGTTGATGCCGGTATGGAAAGCCGGAACTATGCCTCGTTGCCGAAACCAGCAAGGAGCGTGTGGCAGGTGATATCAGGTCACCCCCAGCGACAGAGTCCAAAATCGCCACTCAGGGCAGTCCAGCGATGTGGCTGCTGAAAGTACGCAGTGAAGCTGATGAGTGATTGCGTTGGCGGTGCAAGAGGCAGTTGCAGGGAACAGCAGCGGTGCTCCACCGAGAAGAGCCAGACAGCAACCGCATGGCAGCCGCCGAACGTGTGTGTGACTGACATGCAAACTGCAACAAGACACCACAAACCCTTTTCCACAATCAAACTGTACAAGCATCAATTGCAGGCGGTATAGCCATCATACCTGGCTTTCAACCTTGACGAGTCCGGTGTTGCGCCCCACGGGGGAGACGACACGCTGTATCACCCGCTGCCGTTTACCGTTTCGTTCTGTTCTCTCTGTCTCTCTCTCTCTTTCTCTGCTTTCTCTGTGTGTGTGTGTGTGTGTGTGTGTGTGTGTGTGTGTGTGTGTGTGTGTGTGTGTGTGCATGCACACGTTGCGTTGTTTGTGAGGGGTGAGTGTGATGACGAAGCCGATTGAACAAAAGAATCATATAAATGTGTATCAGATGTTACACTGATGACATCTTAAAGTGTGACAATGACGGAGTGGGATGGGACTGGGAAGAATCGAGTTGCGGGTCAAGGCACAGGCAGGGTACGCTTGCCCTAAGGGGGAGGGGAGCTGGACGTGGTTGGTGTGCCCGTTGCGGCGCGGGATCGTGGACGGATCGTGGCAAAGAATGACGGTTGTGGTCCGTGTGCGTACGTGCATGTGCATGTGTTGCAAAGGTCTGTGTTGGCTGAAATGGCTGCCATAGGGAGTATTGGTGATGAAACCGGTATGGCCTGGTGACCAAGTGAGCCAAAGTGAACGGTCGGTTGATCAGCTACGCGATTCAATCATGTTTGAGCTTTGGCTGCAAGCACGCGGCACACCGCCTCCCCGCCCGCTCTACGAGGCTTGATGAGAGCTGTGAAGGGATCGGAAGAACAACCCATTGTGACCTCTGCGAGTCTATTGTCCGAGCAATTCTGAGAGCAACGGAACACAACCGCCCTGTGTACCCTGACCGCTGTCGATGTTGATGAGAGGCCCAGCTGATCAAACTTGGCGACCAGTTCTTGATTGAGGCACTGCCCGTTGAGTCAATCTGAATGGACAGCACCAGACATCACAGTAGCTTGAGAGGAGGGGTGGAGAAGCAACCCATTGAATTCTCATCCCTTTCCGTGCCCGAGCCAGCACGCTTTGCATGCACATCCTCATTGCTCGCGACAACTGCAGTTGCTTTCGACGGCCGATCGCCGCCTGTCCACCGAGCAACTGCGTCCGTTAGCTGCCCGGTAGACCAATGCAACAACGCAACAACGCCTGCTGTGTGCAGCACATGTCTAAACTTGCAGCAACAAAAATCGACGTATCAGTCTGTTTTTGATGGGGTGTGCCTGCTTCCCCACGCTTTCTCTTAAGCCGACTGCTGACTGGAACTCGCTCTCGTCCCTCTGAGATGCCTTTTCGAGAGCCGCACCTCAAACGACACAAAAGACATTCCACCCCCCACCCCCCCCCCAATCACCGCGCTTCGGAACCCCACTCTTCCCCTGAGTAGTCCAGAGTTGAGATTGCTCGACCTTTGAGCTGCCATGAAAGATCCCATAGCAGTTGGTATTCAAACGCCCATCAAGTTACTCCGCTGGCTTGAGACATCCGTCGACTAATCGATGGCGCTGCCCTTTGGGTTGCGCTACCATGCGTCATCTTAGTTGTGTCCAAGCTATGACACTTAATCCCATAAAATCCCACATGTAGCACCAATTATGGCTGGGTTCAAAAGATTTAATTTTGGTTTTTGATTTTAATTCTATTTGCATATTATTTGGCTCTGTCAACTTGGCAGAATTGGACGAAAGCGCACAACGTCATGACAGCTCCTGGACGATCGATCTTCGCACCAAATCGTGTCTTGCTGCCCAATACACCCTTGGCTCAAGTTCACAACAGCATCAAGCACGGCTTGCTCGTCGCTTTCGAGGTGGGGCAAAGTCATTCCACTCATCAAGCCTCAATCTGAAGTGAAAGACATGCTTTTCACGCCTTGTCTTGACTGCACCCTCTGAACGCCCCAGTCTGAATACCACGCAGTTTGAAAAACGAAGGGCAAGGGCCAGTCAATTGCAAAGTGGCAACTCCACCTCAAGTGAGGATCAGACAATGATGCAAGGGGCGTAGGGGAGGGCAGACTGGCCATCGCTGTCATCAGCGTGATGTGACTTAAAAGCCGACACCATGGATGAGGTGCGACAAAAGGGCAAGAGCTTTGTCGGGGGCGGTCTCGGGAACCTCGTGACGACCGCCACGGACTGTGACAAAAGTAAAGTCGTTCTTGTCGTACACGGTGGCATCTGTACACATACACAAATACGAAAAGCGATGAGCTGGAGTTGACTCTGATGGGCAAGAGTCTACGACAACGTGCATGCGAATGCCTACGTACAGCCGCCAACTTGCTCGGAAGTCACGCCCTCGGCCGTGACGTTGTAGAACCACGGATGCCAAGCAGCCTTGGTCGGGTAGTTCATGCCTGAGACCAATACATTTTAGCAAAGTGAGCCGCCCATGTGCACACGAAATGCAAGCTGTCATGTCATGCGAGCGGCAGTGGTTGACCGCACCGGAAGTCCAGGCCACGTTGTCGGTGTATGGCACACACGTGTCCCAGTCACCGTTGTAGATCACAACCCTGTGGGTAGCACGGGACAAGACGGAGCGATGTGGTTTGGTGAGCCGCAAAGAAAGCAGTACATCGGGGCCTATTAGGGGTTCGGAGACATTGGCACCGACTTGATATGCTCAATGATGTAAGGGTAGGAATCGCGGGGCAGATTGGCGCGGTTCGAATTGTACGTCCAACCAGGTGCCGTGCCACACGTTGACCAGCGCTGCACGTTGGAAAAAGAAAGAAGCGGGACGAGCGAGCGTGAGCACGAACGCTGTTACAGTTCAAAGTGTGATGCGTGTGGGAGCTGCTGGTTAGGCTGCATCTGTTGGCGAATTGGGACAATTGAGACCGCATGCACAACCAATATGCACAACCAACCTCGACAGGCTTTTGAACATGGATCGCCGCTTGCACATCCGCGCGGTTAAAGTAGTTGCTAAACGCACACAAACATGAGCACAAGCCAAAGCTCCCTTCCCCGAAGATCGGGGGGGCCAACTAGACGCCAGATGCAGAAGAGGCAAACCTGGCCAGAATGCTGTCGATGCATGCGGTAGGGCCGCGAATATCGGTGTAAGTCTTGCCCAGAGGTGCGCGCAGGACTTGGTTCGAGTCGCCGTTGATGCATGAGCCGTAGATATTGTACATGTCAATGTTGCCAAGATTGTTGTGCATCTACAAGTCATGGCGCGTTAGGTTTGTTTTCCACCGCGAGATTGAGAATGCCAAGAGTCGACATCCCGGCATCAATCAGGATCAACTGGACTGGGGTCGAACCTTGTTCAGAAGCACCTGGCAGGGCATGGAGGGCACGCTCGAGTTGGAAAAGTCGCAGGCGGCACGGATCGCATCCTGCAGCCAGACCAGCACAGGCACGAGTGAGCTTTTGCACTTTGGTACGCAAACTCGTCCAGGCATGGCAAACGAAGAAGTTCGGCTCTGCTCAAAAGAAACAATGGCATCATATCCTCACCTTCAGGCTGGGATCGACAAAGGCAGTGCCGAGGAGATACTCGGTCTCGTACTTGTCACGCTCGCCACCGCACACGCCAATCTCATTGCCAGTGCTAAAGACACGGTTCAACACCGCACGAGGAGTCAAAATAGAATTGGCTGGTGCCTCACGCGTCAATGCTCGTCCCGAGGCCGGGTTTGTGCAGAGCGTATCTTACCAGCCGTTGCCCACGGCAATGCCCTTGAGGGGAGCACCCTTGTAGGTACCATTCTCCGTGGCTTGCAGGATGGACTCGGCCAGCGTGGGGACATAGATGCCTACCCAGTCAACGGGATGAGGAAGCACTCTGCGTGTTGTATGCATCCAATGCACGCTAAATAAAAAGGTCGGAGGTTCAAGCCACTGTCTGGCTGACGTACCACCATAGCTCTCGCCGGTGATGAACAAGTCGTGCTGATTGTACTCGGGAAAGAGGGAAAAGAAAGTTTGCACCTACAGAGCACATGAGCGGCGATGAGCAAGCCAAGAGGGAGAAAAGGTGGGGGTTAGACGTGTGCTGCATGTGCCACGAATAAGGAGATGTGGACCCGATTCTAGGGGACGTACGGCCAGGCGGTTGTCGTAGGCCGTCTGATCGTCGTTGCATGCGTAGGCAGAGTCGGTGGCATAGGAGAAGCCCACACCTAACATAGCGGCGAGTGGGTAAGGGCTGATGGGTGGCTGCAGAGAAACTCGGCATGCATTCGCAAAGACGCCGGTTTGAGTGGAGGCTTTTGCACTTTTGCCTGTGCATGGCTTTCCGTACCGACGGGGGCTTCGATGTAGAGCATGTTGGCGAGGCTGGCCCAGCTCTGATTGAAGCGGACTAGGGAGGTGCCGTCCTCGCTGAAACGGAAGGGACCTAAACGAGCTCGACACAGCCAACAGTGAGATGGTGAAAGTGGTTCGGTTTCTTGGATGGAGCCCAGGTACAGTTTGAGTGCAATGCAGTCACGAACCGTGCTCGTAGACAAATCCGTCCAGGGAACTGCAACCGGGACCTATTCGGTGATGAGAGGGATGGGCGACAGGCAAAGGGTCGTGATCGTTGAATTGAAGTAACAAAGACATGATCCCCCAGGTAAGGATGGGACTTGGATGAAGGAAGGAAGAAGTCCGGCGCTGCTGGTACCTACCGCCGTTCATCCACACCACCACGGGGTCGGTAGTCGGGTTGTTCATGCTCTCGACAAACCTAGCCCGATGGACGTAATCAACATGTGACATTTGTGACAAAAAAAAAAAAAGAGAGAGAAAAAAAGAAGAAGAAGAAGAAGAAGAAGAACAACGTGGCTCAGGCTACAAGATAACCTCTGAAAGCTCCATGAAGGCCAAGGCGCGAGGGGGCATGCAGGAGATCACATACCAATAGTGAATGCGCTTTGTCTGCGAGATGTTGAGATAGCCAGAGTAGTGACGGCTGGGCAACGGGCCAGACCAACCGGGAAGGGCCGTAATTTCATGGCCACTGGGTGCTGCCGCGGCAAAGGCCACGAGCAGCGCCATGGCCACCGCCACCAAAGCTGTAGAGTGCTGCATCGTTCCGGCAACGGTGCCTGCGATCAACCCACCGACCGAGGATAGCAGACCCCAAGGTGAGTGGTCGTTGAGCTCACGCGGACGCCGCGACCCAACCGGCACAACACAAGACCAAGAAGGACGATAAGCAACACGGAAACACATCATTGACCACCGTGCATCAAGCCAAAGCAGTGGCCCACGCGTCGCCAGAGACCCCACTGCCAAAACCAAATTCAGCACAAGACTGAACGTACAGTCGATCGAGGGAAAAAAAAATGCGAGCGCTGAGACGGGGAGCATGCGAGGTGTGGAGTTGACAAGCAGATGCAAAGCAACAAGTGCACGTCACGTGTGATGCGCCCTCCTCCAAAACACCTTTTTCTCTCTGTCTCAATGAGCAGAGAATGATGACATTGCGCAACGACGACCTATTGTCAGCATGTCAGCATGTCAGCCAAATCGCAAACTCGAGTCAAAAACAGTTTGAAGCGGTTTTTTTTTTTTTTTTTTTGGTTTTTGACTCTCTCGCTCACTGAGGACGTGGTCGAGGCCGAGAGGACGAGGGCCTTGAGGTTGAGGTCGGCAGCGTGTATTTGGTGCCATGCATGGTTTACCAGATTAGGAGTGGAGGGGAGGTTGGGAGAATGCGTGGATCCTCACGGGCTCTAGACGTCAGCCATGGCTCTGGTCGTGTTGCCGGGCTTGGTCGCCAGCGTGAGCCCATCACTGACCTACGCTGCCTGTCCTCAATGCACCAAGAAGCTGCAGCCTCGCAACGAGCAAACGTTTGTTCGCCTCGACCATGTACCATAGGCGCTGTTCTTGCCGTCATGCTCCAAACTCACACGCGTCGCTGTCCTGCTTCATTAGCATGACCTGCTTGACCTGCCACATAGTTCAAGATCGTGCAGAGGTCACGCCGCGATGGCGCATTCAGCTCACCATTCACGATCACCAGAAAACATACCTGGCCACGCTCTTTGGAGCCAACGGTGACCGCCTCATGGGCGTGAGTGCCCCCACCTTTGCCATGTGGCGCCAAGACCTTGCCCCATACTTTCCACAACCCGGTCAGCTGGACGCAGCCATCCACCGCGCTCTGTCCTCCTGGATCGCTGGGGCGCTCTACCTCTTGGCCATTGAGCTTCAACCCCGCGTGCAACGCCAGCTACAGGCCCATCTCACACGAACCAACTCAACATTGCTTGGCTGGCGTCATCTTGAAGCCGTCTTGCACAAGAACCACTTTGTCGTCTCCAACCTCACTCGGCAGACGGCTTTGGCCGCCCCGCTAATGGATCTCTTGCGTGCCCGCCTTACGCCCCCCGCCACCGCCGGGCCCGGTGCCTTGCAACAAGACTTGTGTTTGCCCAGCACCACACCAGACCCACAAGCTTCTCCAATTCAGGCACCGGCTCATCAGATCCCACACACCCGCTCTGCCCACACCCCTCAGGTGCCCTCTCAGGCCGGCCTCACCTCGCAGTGTCTCGACCTGCCCGTTGCTCTTGGTGTGCACATGGACCACGAACTGGATTCAACCATTCTCGGCCCCTCAGACCATGGCCAAGGCCCTAGTCATGACCACGATGCATCAAACCCCGCCCCATGGATGGCTCTGTCCCCCGCACTGGATCAAGCGAGCGCGACAACAGCAGCCCGATCAAAACGGTCGGGGTTGGAACCTCGCGGAGCGAACCGAGGGCCATTTACAGCCGTACCCATTTCGGTCCAATCTTATGCCTTGCCTGCTTCCTCCTCACCACCCCTGGAGCACGAAGCAGCAACCCGTCTCCCATCGCCCCCGCCTTTGTCACAGGCCGACAGCCTGGAGACCGACACCCGCGTTGAGAATGACTCAAGCAGTCCCCTGCCCCCTGCCACCGATGCTCGTGACATCGACCCACGCGAGAGCCCACTCGCCCCACCCACGCCCTCCAGCATGCCTGTATCGGGAACCCAAACGTCCGTGTCGACCCCGACACCCCCCGCCGTTGCCTCGGGGACCCAATCCTCAGCGTCTCCTTCGTCATGGGCCAGCACCGAGTTTGAGCGATACGTTCATACCGCCTTGAACTCGGGCTCAAAGCTTTATCTCTCCAAGGTCCGTGCAAGCCTTTGGCTGACACCCGCCGGCACTTCCGAGTCTTTTGTGCTACCCTCACCCACACATGTCTCTTGTCACCGCATGATAACTGTTATTGCAACAATAGTGCGTCCTGCGAGGAGGCCACAACGTCGCGCAAGCCAGAGCGCAGGCATTCCCCTCTCAAAGCGACGAAGACCAAAACGGGCCTGTGCAGACAGACCCCGCGATTCGTCGTGGCCCCGTCTCCAGCGTACAGGCCTCACCCGCACAGGCCTTGCGTCATGTTCGCTTCCTGGACTTGGCCTGGTCTCCGCAGCCACCGTGTCAACTCGGTCCAGAACAGTCTGCCGTGCTTATGCTTTCGCCCATTCGCCATGCATCGCAAGACCAGGCTGACCCTGGTCCTCACTTTCGGGCACAGGACTCGTTGCTCGTGGATCGCCTTCCACAACTTGGGCATAGCCCGAGTCAGCCCCAGCCAGAGCGAGCTGGTCGGGTCCAGCTCATGGCTGGCAATGCAGCCACTTCAACACCGCTACCAGCTGCCTCGCCACGATCCAGACGCTCTCGTTTGGATTCCACAACGACCGCTTCAGACAAGGTCGCACAGCCGGCCACTAAAACTGAGATCGAGCCCAGCCCCGACGCAACCCGAACGTTGGGCAGGCAAAACGAACGAGAGCCGCCGCCGTCACCCACACCACCAAAAGATCACGCGCTGGATGTTGCCCTCGGTGCTGTGCCATCGACCCCGGCTCTGGTTGGGCTCTGGCGGCCTGCTGCCGCTGTTGTAACCGAGACACCGCAGTTGTTTGGCTGCCGCCCAGCCAGAGAAGATGCACTCGTATCAGCCAGCCCCTCACTGGAGTGCGCACAGCGCGCAGCGGGTCCCCACAGCGGAAGGCCGTCAGCAGCAAGCTCTGATCTTGCCAATGCTTTGCCGATCGAGAGCTCGCTTTCGCCGTCGACACAGAATCCCATGCTGCAGCTGCACTTTGACACACAGCCACCAGAAGTGAGCTCCCGTTACGATGCTCTTCACGCTGCAGCGCTGGAGTTGGAAGGTCTTGAGGATGTTTTAAACGACCATCCCGACTCGACACAGCCATCGCCGAGTTTCAAAGCCGATTCAGGTCGCACGACCCGAGACATGGGCACACAAACAGGCATCAGTGCAGAGGACTTTGACGCGTTGTGGACGGCCAGCCCTGAATCTGAACGGGAGGAAATTTTGGCGTACCGCGTGACGACCACCAAGACTGGTGATTTGACCACGGAATATCTCGTGCAGGTGTGTGTTGCCTTTGTAAGCAGGCCACCATTCTAACATGTGAGACACCTTGCCCCGCCTCACCAAAGTAATCATGTGTTGCTGTGATGGGACGCCTGATCCAGCGTGCGAGTGAGGAAGCACGCTGGGAACCAGAATGCAGCCTCTCTCGAGCAGCCATGATGTTGCATGCCGACAAACTTGCCGCTTCACGCGCAGGTGAGCCTTTCCTGCTGATTGACCCGTCTCGTGGCCACAGCTGCTGGGGTTTGTTTTTGTTTTTTTGTTTTTTTTTTTTTTGTTTTTTCACTTGCTGACACGCCGATGCGTTTGCATGCATTTCTGAATTGATTGGGCTCAGACTTGGTGGAGCGCCAGCGCCAGCTACAGGGCCCGCCCACCAGTCATATGAGAATTGCTTCAGGTCCGACTAGGAAAGAGATAGAGACTGCTGCTAGCAACACGCACGCTTCGAAGGCGGGTTTGGACGCTGATGATACGATTGAATCCGATACGCCACGTGCTGCGCAACAAACCATCAAGCGCATCAAACGTCAGCGCTGGGTCGGCCTTGCACGTCGATCTTTGCGACCAAAACGCGAAGCATCGCGTTGACCAACTTTGAAGGATGATCAACCCGAAAATAGGAAGTGTTTGAGTCTGCACTTGAGTCATGATTAAAGGACAGGCATCTTAATCGACTATTCTATGAGCTGCTGTCTTTCGTTTAGCACCTGAGTGACGAGTCCAAAGCCGGCTCGGTCCACTGAACCATTCGACGCCACGATCAAATCCATGATGGAGCGGATCAAAAAGTTCCTTTGAAGTTCCAAAAGGCAATTTGTCAGACGATCTTTGAGTTTTTTTTCTTTATTTTTTTCCACAGCAGCAGTCGAAGGCTTTGATGGAGCAGGCGGAAAGGAGCTGGGTGCCGTGACTGGAACCTGTCTGTGGCGGCGTTGCGGGAGCGCTGAGGCCTGGGAGTTGCCAGTCGGAAAGATGGAGGATTTTGTGCACCGGCTCAAACGGCGACTGCGGCGGTCGCATCGGCTTGACCGCGCTTCTGTGCAAGACCTGGTACGGCAAACGCTGCGAGGCAACGTTGACGAGCAAGACGAATTGGGACGCACGGCCTTGATGCACATTTGCGCGCTGGGTGCCTCGCGAGTGCTCAAATACCTGCTACAAGACTACTCGCCAAACTTGCTCTTACGGGACTGTGATGGGGCAACCGTGTTGAGTCACGCGGCCATGTCAGGGCGGCGCAAGCACCGGCTGCAGCTGGCTATCGCGCTGTTGCGCTACGGTGCCCCTGCGCAGGTGGAAGCCCTGTTGCAAACCTCGCACTTTCAAGGGCGTACAGGAGCTGCAATGGTAGCTGCCATTGTGGAGATGGGCCGTTCCCGCTATTCGGAAGACGCAGACTACCTCGTCTACTTGCTGCGTCAGCAGCTGCCACCACCGCCTCGACCGACATCGCCGCACACGCTTGCGCTCAAAGATACGGGCGAGGCGCTAGAGCGGGGCACGACGGCGAAAAAGCAAGCCGAGGCTGAGGCCTGGGCAGAGCGACTGTCTTCGGCCTTTGCTGATGATTGCATGGATCAAGGCTTTGTGTTTGCTGCTGACCCGTTGGACGCCGCCGAGCCGCGCGGTGTCGATGCAATGGATGATGACGCATACGCCCAGTATATGCGGACGTACTTGAACGCGCGTGTTTTTGGTGAGCACCGTCATCATCATGCAAGCACATCGGCCTTTGATGCAACCGAGGAGGAGGTAGCAGCCGAGCGGGCGCGGCGGGCGCGGTTGGCAGAGGAGGCATCAGCTCGAATTCTGCGCGAACAGGTGGAGGAGACGGCCCGCAAGCGCATGCGCACTCGCTCCAATGACGTGGTCGAGTACGCGGTGCGTGCGGATGCCTTCTTTGACCAGCTGCAGCAGCGGCTGATTGCCCAGGATGACCAGAGCGCACCCGCGGATTCTGACGCCACGCCAACATTGCTGGTGTTTGGTAATGTGCCGTGGCTCGGGGAAGATCGCATCGCCGCGACAGCCCGGATTTTGGGAGGTCTTGAAGCCCCCGCGGCATCGACCGTGCCTCCGGCCAAGACCACAAAGGTGATGAACGCTGACAAAGGCGAGCCTGGGGATGAGACGGCCCGTGCCCGTGCAGCAGTGGCAGCCGAAGCGACGCAACGACGCAAGGTGCTTCGCTTGGCACAGAAGCGCTGGCATCCCGATCGATGGGAAAAGTACCTGCCCCTTTTTGCGGCAGAAGAACAGGAACGGGTGCGCGAGGGTGTCAAGGCCACGGCCCAGCTTCTCAACGCTCTTGTTGAAGATTTGAGCTAAGGACCAGCGGAGGGCCTCTGGGCCATGTGTGGAACAGCGAGTAGACATAATGGAAACCAGACACAAGCAATCGATCGAGTTTTTGAGGATGGGAGTCTCCGCGTGTGTTGGCTGACTGCCCGCCGAGTGGGTCGGGGCTGTTGGCAAGTGGCGCGTGCACGGCACCCAGCATACGTCAGTGTTTGAATGGTTTCCAATTGGCTTTGGAGGCAAAGACGCGCACGTGATGGCGCCGAAAGGGCAACAAGGGTATACACACTCGAGCACAGCTCGGACAGGGAGATATATTCTAGCTGGGCATGGGTTTAGCTGGCAGACAAGCTCGCGGCGTCTGGCTTGGAAGTTTCCATAAGCTCTGTCAGGGCACGATCCTCGCGTCGCTGCCACTGTCCG